CTTAAATCGGTTTTTAAATTAAAAGTCAATCCTAGAACTGCGAAAAAACAACAAACTTCAAAGTATACCGTGATCTAGTTCCCCGTAAAGAAAAAGATAAAAATAATGTATAAAAAAAGGAAACTTGAAGGATTCCCTAAAAACAGTCCCAATTTCCATACATAAAAAAACCAGATATCAAAATTTCCGTTTTTACCCAAATGCCCAAAAGAGATTAAAGTGTTCCAAACCCTCAAAGTTTTCTTTCCGTTCTTTTGGTTTAAGTTCAACTTTAAACATCCAGAACAATACTCCCCTTCGATCACTAAACGTCTCCCCACTGTGTGATTGGGAAAAAATAGTATATTAATTAAATTTTCTTGGACTCACGATAAGCCCGGGGGAATAATGACCCAAGGGTAACCCCTGGCGCCTATTGGCCCTCTAAAGAATTTTGAATGTTAAATAAGAATCGACATCAAGACAATAATTATCTTTAAATGAAAAAAAAAGTACGTTTTTTTTAAGAATAAAAATTTGAAAAAAAATAATTTTTTTCCACTACCCCATTTTCACAAATTTTATTTATTTTTCAGCTGACTTTAGCTATCATTGATTTTCGGAAAGGGACACATTAAACATCCCCCAAATTTTGAAAATAAGGGATAAATAAGTCTAATCCTTTTAATTTCTAACTTCGGATAAAAAAAAAAATTTTTTTTTAATTTAAATTTTCATGTTGAAAAAGCATGAAAATTTTTCTCGTGGGCCCAAATTTTTAAAAACACACTTTTAACTCAGAAAACATTTCAGGGTATCTTAAATTTTTTGGGTCTCAAACCCCGTTTAAAAATGGGAAAACGTATCAAAAACCCAAAAAACTCGAAAGTAAGTTTCAATTGAGCGGGCCTTATTTATCCGGTCGTGTAATTTAAAAAACCCCACGTCACCCTCATTTGGGCCCCTGGGGGTTGTAACCAATTTGACGCTGAAAGGGTAACCCAAATAAATGCCCTTGAAGTTGATGGGTTGGCCAAAAGGCACAAAATTCAGCCATGTTTGTAAAAGACAAAAAGCAAGAAATATCTTTGATGAATAGCAGAAAGAAAAAGAAGAAAGAGAAATTAACAGCTCACTCATGCGTATTAGATGAATATTATTATTTGAACACCACATTACCGTCAACAAAGTTTCAAAACTTTTTTTTTAATCAGAAACTTTAAATACACTCATTCGGATTAATTTTTTACATGCTGATATAAACTAGTCTTATAAAAGTTAACCAATGGCTCTAGTGTTGGTGTGTTTTTATATGACAAATTTAAATTAAGTAATACAAATAATGTTCTTTTTAAAAAAAAAAAAAATCCCGGCATGAACATTTCCTTTCTAGATTTTAGCTTTGTATAAATTACTATTGCATAACCATCAGTTTAAGCGATCTTTCAACACAAAAATTGGGTAGAAACAAATTATTAAAAAAATATTTTAAGTTCACATATAATGGTTGAAAAAGAAACTATCTGAATCTTTCCGTCAGTATTCAGGTCTACCATTCAAGCTCTCTTTGCTTGGCTTCTTGTAGTCAATCGGATGATGGGTCTCTTGTCACACGTCCGTTAGTAATCAGCCAGCAGTGAAGGGCTCCAATTGCCTTGATACCTTGTCTGTCATAGCAGAGCAATGTTTCTGATGAACTCTTCCCCATGCTCCATCACTGACAGTCACTACGGTTTGATGTAAAGAAAATCCAGACGAGAAATGAAGAAAATGAATTTTCCACTGCTAGCCCTGCTGCTTGTTCCGTCGCCAGGCCACATTTACAAACAAATTTCGGGCCATCGTGAAGAAGTTTTTGAATTTGCGGGATAACAAACATCCCTCTCTTATGTTAGCTGAATCGGTCTTTGGATATTTTTTGATGAGATGTTTGAAGGCATCATCTGTTTTCCCCTCTCCAATGTGCCTTGACAAAGTTTTGTTCATGAGACACCAGCTGGTTATGTGCAAGGGTGGCAACCAAATCTTGCGTGGTGTCAACAAGTGCGGGGTTTTCCAAGTTCTTGCTGTCGGCTGCAATGACCACCTGACTTGGCCAGTGTCTTCTTAGGTAAGAGTCCATGTGTCTGCTAGGTCTCTTTCAGTGTTCCAGTCCACCAGATACAGCATAAGTAACTAAGTTACATCCACCAGGTAACCAAGCAAAAGAGTGACCTTTTAAATCACCGCCGAAAGTGATCTGTGATGATGATACATAGTTTTTAGAACACGTCAAAAGGTACCTTATTTTTTTGTAAAGAGTTTCTTTCATGTAGAAAACTGCATGACCAACTGGAACTGACAGTAATACATTATCATTATTCAAACAAAACAGCTGTTCAGGACTTGTTTTGGATGATTGATATGAACAGCCTCCCACTCTCTAGTTTGTAATTGATTTTTATGGCTGCCAGTTAAGCCCGGAAGTATTGGGCATTCAGAAAGGTCACCTTCTTAAAAAAAATTGATATTAATGTGACTTCTGACCCCCAGTTTCCAAACACAGAAATTCTAATTACCTTGCTGGCAGAAGATTCCACATTGTGGAGCAATCTAGAGACCCAAAAAGCTCTGCTTTGTTTTTTTCGGTTAATTCAAACCTCTTACCAGATCATCATTTTACTTTGGGTTGTTTAATTTGTGTTTTAATGGATACAAGTTTGCTTGAGGGTTGGTATTTCAAGGGCCAATGGGGTTTTTTTTTTAAAGACCTGTCCCCCATGTGAGCCCCTCATCCGAAATAGTGGCACTTTTGTGTCACTAGTGTTTATCACTTGATGCAATGTCCTGGTGGGTATTAACTTCAGCCTATCCAAATAAAACACTCCACCTCACCTCATTCTGCCAAATACTACGTGACTGTTTGTTAGGGCATTTTGCTTTGTTGTAAAGTTGTTGGGGGGGAAAGGGGGGAGGGGGAGGGGGCGGAGGAGTGGAGTGGAGAGAAATTTGGGAGATAGCGACATTAAGAAGTGTGACTGGCAAAGCAGGGAGGCTGCAAGAAATAGAGAGGGGAGGGGGGAGAGAGAGTGTGGGTGGGTGTGTGTGTGTATGTGTGTAAGATAATAGAGTGATCAAGGAACAAGACCGAAAAAAAACTGATTGCAACATTCACAGAATGTGTCAGAATTGTTTTTACTTTCTCGCTGTCCATATGTAACATTTTCTACCTTATGTGCTGCATGCACTGCAAAATAGAATACTACTGATGTACCATTTTGAAAAGAAAGAAAAAAACTAAAATCCTGTCCCAAAATGGGACATCATTTTTCATTAATTTAAAGCCCCACCTCGGCTGTAGTTGGTGTCCCTCACTTAACGGGGTTACTGGAACTTGTGCCTGGGTGATCCTCATCCTAATGGTGGCACTTTGTGTCAATGGGTGTTGGTCGCTGATTGAACGGTCCTGGTGGGGGTGAACCACACACACACACACACATCTTCTTTAGTGTCCTGTATTAGCCATTAATTTTAAGGCCCACTTCAGCAGTTGTTGGGGGCCCTCATATAACCTAATGGTTAAACAGGGTTTCAGGGGCATACGCCCGGGTTATTCTCATCCGAATAGTGGCACTATGTCTCACCGGGTGTTTATCCCTTGTTGTGCGGTCCTGAGGAGGTTAAACTTCATTCATTCATTCATTCATTCATTCATTCATTCATTCATTCATTCATTCATTCATTCATTCATTCATTCATTCATGTTTAGTGGATGTTAGTCTACATACACACACACACACACAGACTCTATGTATCTCATGTCTAGTGAATGTTGGATACACACACACACACACTCTATGTACCTCATGTCTAGTGAGTGTTGGACACACACACACACACACACACACACACTCTATATACCTTATGTCTAGTGAGTGTTGGACACACACACACACTCTATGTACCTCATGTCTAGTGAGTGTTGGATACACACACACACACACACACACACACACATACTCTATGTACTTCATGTCTAGTGAGTGTTGGACACACACACACACTGTACTAAACTCATGTCTAGTGAGTATTGGATACACACACACACACCACACACACACTAATCAACTCATGTTTAGTGTTTATTTATATATAACATTCTACTTAGCTCATATTTAGTGAGTGATGGTTATATGTAACACTACTTACCTCATGTTAAGTAAGTATAGCGAGTGTTTATATACAACTCTGCTCAATTCATGAGTGAGTTCTGATTTATGTCAAATACTCTACCAACTTCATGCTCAGTAAGTTCTGGTTTACATCAAATACTCTTTCCACCTCTTTTTAAGTGAATTCTGGTTTACGTCTAATACTCTACACACCTCGTGTTAAGTGAGTTCTGGTTTATGTCTGATACTTTACTTACCTCATGTTCAGTGAGTGTTGGTTCAATGCTGAGTGCCAATCTCTCTGAACTTCCCATACGGACATGCTAACCAGAACCAAGCAGGAACTATTTGGCAAAGAAAGCTCGTACATCTTCTTGTTTGAGCCCAGCCTGACAGCCAACTTCTCCAGGATAGCATTGATGTTAGACTTTGGAAACTGTTGGAGAATATCTTGGTGTACATTTATATACAAGTGTAGACTTTGCAAATGGAAGAAATAATATATACATTGCAAACTGCTTAAAGCAATCTCGCGTAAAGCAATCTCAGATGTGGCAAATTTATGTTCAAATTCTTATCTGGATAAGAGAAATTTCTGGTAAGAAGAACCATTTCTTGGGTCCCCCATGAGTTCTTCTAATCAGGTTTGTACTATTTTGAACACACAAAGTTAGATTCAGATTCTGCTGGAGAAAATGATCAGGTCTTTTGAGACAGAAGTTAGGTTTAGACTTAGCATATTTTTGCATAAATTTACTTCTATTATATTAGCTGCATAAAAACACCAGTGTGCCACTCAATGGAAGCAAAGAATGAGGTAGAGTTGGGGTGGGCTTGGGGTTGGCTACATCATACTTAAAACTTGTAGCCATAAAACCACACAAAAACCATCTAAACATGAAAAATTCAAAAAGAGAAACAAGAAAAACCCAGCCAATAAAGATGAGGGAAGGCTCTTCGAGTAGAAGAAGTATGACACAATGTGGAGAAAGCAGAAAGGAGTCTGGATGGTTGACATACCTTCTCTCACCTAGGAAAACCTTCAGAATTGGCACCTGGAATGATAGAACTTTGTACAATGCAGGAAAAACAATGGAAGTAGTAAGGGAAATGAAACATCATAGGATTATTACTTTAGGATTACAAGAAACTAGATGGACCGGGGTGGGAAAAAGTATTCTAAATTCAGGGGAAACTATTTTGTTCTCAGGACATACAGAGGAAAATTCTTCCCACAGTGAAGGGGTGGCCCTGATGCTATCATAAGAAGCAGAGAGAGCACTAACAGAATGAGAAGCTGTGAGTCCTAGAATAATAAGAGTGTCATTTAGAACAGCCAAACAGAAGGTGGACGTGTTGGCAATACAGTAATATGTACCAACAAATGATAAGAATGGATCAATTAAGGAGGAATTTTACATGCAACTTCAAAATATTTTAAATAATGAAGGAAAGGGCAATAAAATATTTTGATGGGTGACCTGAATGCTAAGACAGGATCAGATAACACAGGTTATGAAGAGATTATGGGAAAAAATAAACTAGGAGTAAAGAATGAAAATTGAAAATTATTCACCAATTTTTGTGCAGGAAACCAGTATTCTACTGGCCAAAGCATTTTCTTACACAAAAGAATACACAAAGCAACATGGGAATCACCAGACCATAAGACAACTAACCAAAATAATCACACAAATTTAGATCATCCTTTCATGATGTTAGGGCTTTTAGAGGTGCCGTTGTATTTACTGACTATTTTCTGTTAGTAAGTAATATTGTATTGTGTCCAACATCAGAAACTTTGGACTATTATGAGAACTATGGGGTTTCCAGCGCATTTGATGCATTAATTGAAAATCTGTATCATGAACAAAAAGCAGCCATCAGAGTGAGAGTGATGCAGGGGTGCATTCTCTCACCATACCTACTCACTATAAACGCAGAAAATATAATGAGAAATGTCAAAAATGACCAGACTTGTGACAGTTATGATCCGCTCAAAATTGGTGGCAACCATATACTAGAACTTTGCTATGCAGATGACACAGTCCTCCTTTCAAACAGGGTAAAGGGAATAGAAAATTTAATATTGTCTGTCCAAAAGCACAGTGAAGATCATAATCTGTTCTTGAATTTAAAGAAAATGAAAATAATGTCCTCAGATAAAACCCAAAAATAACAATAAATGGCGAAGAAATTGAAAATGTCACCAACTTTGAATATCTAGGCTTTATAATAAATAGCAATGGAGACTGTTTGACAGAAATTTAGTTAGATTATCTATCCATAGGCGCTCAGATTCCCCTCTCAACATATTCATCAGCGTTGTGCGGTTAATAGTACCAGTCCTATGTTGGTTAACAAGACTTTGTGTGCGTTCAGTGGACTTCTCATGCTTGGCTGTGCCGATCTTTACTCCCAATTCGCGTATTTTTAACAGTGATGTGGACACGTTGCTTCCAAAATCCTCAGAACGTCCTAACTCTCTAAGGACATTGACAATGTCTGTGTGATCCATGGGCCGGCCATATTAAATTAATGCAGCACCTGCCAGTCTATCAGCTCTCTCATTACCAACAACGCCTGCATGACCTTGGATGAATATGAAAGTAACTGCACACACAGGAGAATTTTGCAACAACTCAAGCCACTGTCTGCGTAACCAGCCTGCCTCGACCCGCTGATCATGCTCAAAGAATCACTCAGCACACACACGCAGGAATAGTCCTGTGATCCTGCCACATGAAAGCCTGTGTCACCGCCATCAACTCCATCGTCATGCTGCTGGTGGTCATGGAGAAGGCACCGCTGGCTTCCTTAACTGTTCTGCCTGAAGAGCGAGCTGTAAATGCCTATGCACTCTTATTATGTCCTCATATAACAGACCTGTCTGTGAAGATCACCACATGTCTCATCTGACTTGTCATTGATAAGTGCGCATACCTCGGCATTGACAGCAGCTAGATTCTGCTCCCGACAATTCCTATCGAGGGTCACGACACAGGAGAATGTGAGATTGGGCGCTTTAGACTCTGGTATTCACTCCTCACCTGGATAGATGTTTGTAAGGCTGCAAACCTGCATGATATCCTCCTCTGCCCTACCTAGCCATGAGTTGCCCCTTTTAAGTCTATTGCCCTTTTTCTTGAAGAGCATGTGATGCAAAGGGTGCTTCAGATCTGAGCTTTTCTTCAGGTATGCACAAGCCCTCCAGATCTTGATCCTGTAGTTCATGGTAGGGAAGTCAAGAAGGTACCTCATTGCTACAAAAGAGGTGTCTCCAGTGCACCCTAGAATAATGCACATTGCTTTATTTTGCACCTTCTCAAGTCTTTCAATCTGAGTATGGCTGACAGTGAGGATGGCAAGAGCATATTCGATGGGAGAAAGTACAAGTCCCTGCAACAGAAGCAGAAGCAGTCTCTGTTCAGTGTTAGCATCAGCCAGGACCCTCATTGCTGACAGGCCTTTGCGTACTTTTGTTATGACATGGTCAACATGTTCTTTGAAGGATAGGCAATGATCAAACCTCACTCCAAGGTATGTCATCAGATTTGTTCTTGTCAAAATTTCTTCGCTGCTTTCCACTGCTGGTAAGTCTGCCTTCACTATATGCATGTTCAAGGAGAACCACATTACTGAGGCCTTCAAAGGGTTGACATGAGCATTAGAATCTGCAAACCGGGAGGAGATGTGACTAAGTTCACTCTGCATTGAATCGGCAATCTCTTGACGATCTATACCATGTCGATATACTAAGAGGTCATCAGCAAATGACAAGGTCCTGCCACTCCCATGCAACTGCGGCTCAGTTATCAGCACTGTGTACACATTGAATAGCACTGAAGACAGTGGAGAAGCTTGAGGCTATTCTGGGCTGATGGTTATCAGTTCTGAGGACCAACAACCACACCTGAGTATCACCCATCTCCGAAACAGTATGCGGCTACCCAGCGGGTGATGAAGGGAGATATTTGCAGTTGGAGGAGTATGTGCACCAAGTATTTAAATGGTAGTCTATTGTACGCATCCTCTAAGTCTAGTGCAGCTGCACATGTCTCTTCTCTCATCTGAAAACCTTCATAGACTTTACAGGCGAAGACTGTATGCGCCAAGTGTGGATGGTAATCTGTCATGCTTTTCCAAGTCATCAGCGAGTCTACGTGCTACAATTTTCTCCAGAAGCTTGCCCGTAGTGTTCTGCATGGTAATGATTCTGTAGCCACTGATCTTGGAATGGTCTTTATTTGGTTTTGGTACTGCTAGTAGAGAGCTGTGTTTTAGCCACTCCTCTTCTGACTTGAACCGCTTCTGATGCTGACGTTGAACTCTCCTGGAGTTCGACAATATCATCCTCTGAGATCTTTGCAGCATATTCAGCATTACTGTCATGCCATCAGGGCGCCTGGTGAGGTGCTGGGCAATTCTCCTGAGTGTTCTCGTATGCGTCTCAGTTGTAATTACTGTAATCGTCACGTAGCTCTGCACAACTCTGAAAGTGTGTGACCTTTACTCTCAGTCTGGCGCATCATCTTTGCTGGTCTGGTCTAAAGTAGTGCTGAAGGAGAAGGAGAACCTGCCATTTATCTGCATTCAGATTTCTGCCATGTCAGATCTGAGCTTTGCAAGTCAGGGATACCCTGACGTTGTGTGGTGCCATTCATTGCCCGATGAAGTCACCAAAATGTGGCAAGAGACCCTTCAGAGCATACCCTCTTAGAGTAATCATACCATTTCTCATTCCTGACCTGCTTTGACCACAGCTTGAAAGCCATCGTTGTCTTATTGACTTTATCTTTCAGGTCACTCAGGAGCTCAGGCTGTGGCAGCTACTCTTCCTTCTGCCACACCTTGACTGCCTCCCTTTTTTCCAACCATGCCCTTTCAACCTCTTCATCCCACCACAGTGGCTGAGTCAATTTCTTTCTCTGTCTGCCGGAGGTATTTACTTTGCAACGTCTAACTTTGCTGATGGCATCCTGTTCTGTGTTATCCTACTAGAAAGTATTTATTCTGCTTATTTGACTGATTTTTCTGCTCTTTTCAACCAAGACAACTCAGGGAAGGTGGTCGCTGTCATGGTACCCCAGTGTACTCCATCTACAAACAGGGGCGATGGTGGGCAACACTAGAGCCAAGTCAATCACACTGTCAGAGTCACTTGGTCGAGTGGCTAGTCTAGTGACTTGTCTGTCATTGAAACATTCAAGTCCAGCAGATACCAGGGCCTCCTCCAGATCTTCCCCCGTTTATTGGTTATGACATTAAACCATTGTCTGCTCTTGGCATTAAAATCTCCGCAATAAATGATGTCTCTTTCTTTGGTCGCAAACAAACGTTGCCACTGCCGCACCTCAACCTTACCGTTACAGGTGTAAACATTGACGATCGTAAATTGGGCTGGAGCCAGCACTCTTACTGAAGGCACCTGCAGGACATCACTGTTCCATTCAGACATGTCCACTTCTGACGCCATCATGCTGTCGCAAACCATAATGACCTGACCGAGATGCTGCCTGTTGGAAAAGCACTGAAGACATGCAACTTCAACTGTCTCATCTCCTGTAAGGCTACGATGTCATTGCCGTAAAGAAGCTTTTCAAGAATGGGCAGTCTCTGATTAAACGAAACACAGTTCCAGTATAACACACGAACATATTTTAGACTCAGCCTGTCACATTTTAGATGTTTCCGGCCGGCATCAGCATGCTTGCCGATCTTTGTTCTTGTCGCCCGTTGTACAGTTTCCATGAATGAAATTTCACCACAAGACACTGAGGAACGCCGATAGGAGACTGGGCACTCGTGCACGAAACTCCGTAGCACGGCCCAGAACCCTGTTACGTTCCAAAATGTTACAGTAAACACATAACTAGTAGCGAAAACACCCTTTGTCCTAACGGACGAAAAAGATGTCCTGCCATCTTGTCTGTTTACACCAAAAATTAAAAGGAGGATGGCCATAGCAATGCAAAGATTAAACAGCCTAAAAGTCTATGGTTAAGCACCAGCAAGGAGATCAAAATTCTGAGAGCATGCATCTTCCCTGTAGCAACATACGGATGTGAGTCATGGACTATCTCCGAGTCCTTAAGAAAGAGAATAGGGGCTTTTGAGCTGAAATGGTACAGAGAGATTCTCAGAATATCTTGGACAGAAAAGAGGAGAAATACTGACATCCTCAAAAGATCTGAACATCAAGGAAGATTGGCTAATAAACATCATCCTGTCTCAGAAGCTAAAATATTTTGGTCTTGTCAAGCGCCACGAGGAATAGGAAAAAATTATAGTAGAGGGCATGGTACCAGGAAGGAGGGGCAGGGGCCGACCAACAAGAGGATGGGCATAGGATCTAAATGACTCCTTGAGTATGAAAGTACATGGGGCGGGAGAGCTGGCGAGTGACAGAGTTTCTTTCAGGCAGACCATGATGAGAGCAACATTCTGCAAAGGACCTGCTACATGATGATGATGAAGTAAAATCAAGTTGAAATAATAATAATATCATAATATACCCACAACATAGGACAGGGCATGTAGCCCACAGCAGCATGAATGGGAGGAAAAGGAACTCTCTTTGTACAGGCAGGTTCATGATAAGTACCCAAAATGTGAAATCTTCATTTAGCACAGTGTATACCAGAATTCATACAAATGATAAACATTTTATGGAGGGTATCTTAGGTAAAAACTACCATATTATTTCATCTATGATACTCATCTTGACATTAAGGATAAACTTAGTATTAAAATGCATGAGGCATGGGTCAAGGTAATAACAAGGACAAATGAATTCAGTCCTTTATACATCAAACAACCATTTTGCTGATACAGCTGCAGTAAACTGTTTTTGTCCAGTATTGTAAAGACAAAATGACACAGTTCTAAACTGGTGCTTACCCAGGTAAAACATTTGAGTGTGGTGGATTTTTGTATTTCAGTTTGAAGGATTCAATTTTTGTTTCTTCATCTTATTTAAATCTGTTACTTATCAGACAAGACAGAATAAAATACACTATGCAGTAAATTATGCAGTCTGTTGTTTGTGCTTTATTTGAACATTTATGTTTAAAAATAATTATTAATTATCAAGAAATATAACAAACAGAGTGCAACATGGATGTCTGTCTCCATGCCTTTTCAGGTCATAAACAGAAAGCATTTTAAACAGGTTGGAGAATTACCTAAACAAGAATAACAGAGCAAGAGTAATAAACAATCTTAGATGGGTGAGAATTACCTAACTAAATATTAGTGGAAGAATAAGAGACAACCCTAGATCTGTGAGGATTACTTGAACTGAATATTAGTGAAAGAATAATAAACAATATTGCTGATTATATATGGCTGCTACTGGAAAGTGAGCAAGATTTACAAAACCTTATGAAGGAAGTAAATAGGGGCTTTAAAAAAAGCCCTGCATTTATAAATAACTAAAAGTACAATAATTTTCAATGGAAAGTAAAGGCGAACTGTAAACATCACAGCAGTCAACAAGACACAAGAACAAAGAACAAGTTTCTTCTGTCTTAGACACACACTAACATATGTTGGCAGAAGTGATCTAGAATTTAAACTGACTATTTAAAAACAGCCGACCCTGTTGCTGATTATTGAGCTAAAATATTAAACATTATGTAACATTTTTTACAGCTCACAATAAAATTAAAATTATTCTAAGTTCAGAAACAGATTTTGAATTTATCTATGTCTTTTTTTTACACACTGCATTAGTTCTGTAAACCCTTAGTACTATTTGTTAACAGAACTAAGAAGGCATCATGGTAAAATTATGAATAACAGATAATTAAAAAAGCCAATCATGAATATACCACACATATTGTAGGACTAACCAGATTACTGTTGTCTTCCATAAACTTGAAGGCATATTCATCTGCATCTAGGATAACAAACTTGAACTTGTTGAACTCAACACAAGCCCCAATGTAAAGATCTGCTGCTGTGTAATACTGGGACACTTCAGTGTTGAACATCACTTCTGGTGGTTTCTTGATACGACCACGCTCCAGAAACTTTCCTCCTGCAATACCTTTTATTTTTTTGGAGAAAACAATCAAACATTTCAGCAACAAGAATTAATTGTGTAATTAATGTGGTAGAAAATTTTAAATATTGGAGGTGAAACATCATTTGGATTTGGAATTAGTGGATGGAACATTTTCTATTGGTTAAAAATCACCTTCCCGATGGATGGATATCTCAAAAAGTTGCTCCTGTCTTTTCCCATTCATCATACAAGGAGAATCACAAACACCATGTGGTGTACTATATAGCACAAAAAGATTGAGATAAATCTGTGTATTTATTAATAATCAAAAAGTACTAACACTTGCTATAAATATTCAGTTTGCATGCAGTTTTTCATAATCTGAACATTAGAATAGGACAGAAACCTATTTGGGTATTTAGCTAACAATATTTTGCAGTTTCAAAAGGCAAACGACCAAGGGATTTTTGTACAGACGACAAGTTTTTTACACAATGTTTAAACCCTTTAATGGGGGTTAAAGGAAAGGAAAGTGAGGAAGGCTGTAAGAGTATATTGTTGACAGCCATTCATCTTGACATGGAAAGATATAAACCCAGAAGTGATATATTTCAATGAAGAACAGTGTTGTGGAGAAGCATGAGACCAAAACAAATTCACAAAACTATTTTCAAATGATGACTGATTTGAGAGTGGTGAAGATTTAATACTATAAGCACTTGCTAAATATAATGCTTTATAAATGACATCAAACAATCCAACTGACAATTGTGGTTAGAAAGTAATTAGTGCACTGACACAACTTTGGTCTAATGTTCAATTCTGAATAGTGTTATCACTTTTCACTAGCCCCACTCTCTTACAGCATTAGGCAATCCCAATCAGCACAACAAGACATCTCATACAAAGCGAATTCATTCCCGCCCTTTGCTACCAGTGCCAGACGTGGTAACTTACAACGAAACATAGAAGAAAATTAGTAACCATGGAAATGAGGTGTCTGAGAAAGGCTGTAAGAGTGACCAAAAGAGATATAATCAAGAATGAGGTCATATGAGATACAGTCAGCACAGAACCAATTCTAATTCACACAGAAAGATAGCAGATCAAATGGTCTGCTCACCTGGAGAGAATGCCTTCTGATGCTATACCATACAAGGCATATACCAAAAGAGGAGAGGGACGTAGAGCAAGAGGTAGACCAAGAAAAAAAATTGGAAAAACTCTACAGTACCAGAATGTGTCTTTGGCCGAAGCAGTTAGAAAAGCACAAAGCAGGACATTATATCTCCCTCGACACCCAAAGCGGTAAAAGAGGATAATTACTCTTTAAGAAAGAAATCTAATTAAAATGGCTTTGTGACTAATAATAATGGTTACTATGGATTTCTCTGAGAAAGTAAAGACAACTAACACAACAGTAGTCCTGTAGATAATAAATACTTCTTAGTTTATGAAACCTCTACTGAGGTATTTGAACTGTGACAAAAATGAAATTTCAAAATTATAATCATAAAAAATTATACATTTTACATGTTTTTAAACAAATGAGAATATTTTAAAACTATCACCAGCATAATCAAAAATATATCAATCAGGCAGTTCTTCTGCTACAAACTTTAACTATTTCTATACCAGGGTTTGCATCATAGGACCAAGGAGTAGCAATTACGTTTTGAAACTGCAGGAGTGTAAACACATGACAAACAGACCATACCCACACAGCTGCTGTGCAAGACAAACAAACAATGTAATTAAAGGGACCCTTTGCCAGGCCTTCAGGCATACTGGGTATACAGGCCTATACTTTATAGACCAATTGGCACTCAGTGGGTGATGTGGTCAACATCACACCTTCTGCCTTTACTTCCCAGAACTCTACCTGACCCCATTTAAGGTTATACTGACTTGGGAGCCAAGGTCATTTTTGAAAACAAAAGTCTCCACCAGGACCTGAACCCATGACCTTCAGATCTGCAGGCAAGCGTCTAGCCGCTATATCACAGCAGCTTCTAGCATATGCATATAATATTTCAAAGTGACCAGGGAATATTACCTCTTTTTAGTACCTGAGTACAGTCAAAATAGTTATAAATCAATGCAAGATGTGTCTCTTGTTACCCAAAGAGTTTAATTAACGCTTTTCTTTCTGACCAACGTTGATAATTTTCAAATTTTCGGCCATATCCCCTGGTGACCAACTTCGACGATTGACGAATTCATGACATGTATACTGAAGACAGACAGTCCCCCCCCTTACCAATAGTTTTTTTAAACTGAGTTTCATCCTGGTATTTTTATTACACCAAGATGGCTGTGCCCATGACTGATATCGCTTTGAGCTGATTCAAGCATTGTTTTCAGTGAAATTTTGATAATTTCGACTACCAGCGCATATTCAGCCATTTTGTCATCTCATGGCAAAAACAGACCAATATTATTGATGATTTGGAATCTGCCAGTAACTGCAGCACTGAAAACGGTAATTCCTGGATAAGTAGAGATTTACTTGTGAATGTCATAATGCAACTGAAAGTGGCGACACTGATGACAGACTTGATGACAGAGGTAATGTAGGTACATAGGAAGAAAGAAGTGGGTGTTTCTACAGCTGAAAATGCTGTTGGTAAATGGAGAAAGGCTGCTCAAAATGAACTTGTTAAGCTTGACAATCTTCCTCCCTACGAATAACAACAAAGTGCCATGTTAGACACAATTGGAGTGCGTCAATTGATTTTTTTTTAAAGAAAAAGCAATTGCAACTGTAAAGGGCAAATCATCCTGTCTTATGTGACAAAAGATAAAGGCATGCTGGTCATTACCTGGCATGACACTAAGAGAGCTCATCTGATATCTTCTGTTGACTCCAATGATGTTATGGACAAGACAGTCAGGAAATGTGGAATTCTTGAGGGCAGAATAATAAATGAGCCAGTTCTTGCAGAAAAATACAACAGAATAGGAGGTCTTGATCACTTCGGCCAGCTGGGTGCAAACTACCCCTACCTACCTAGATCCTATAAATGGTACATGCTGTTATTTTATTTATTTTTAATTGACGCTGCTCTGATCGATGAGCGTACAAACTACAACACTGCCAACTCTATGTATAAAATCACAGCAAAGAGGTTCAGGCAGGATGTTGGTCTTGCTCTTATTGGACTTGCTGTTCTTTGGCACAATGTAAAACCTTCAAGACCACACGTCATAGCATCACAACTCACTCAGCGCCATTTAAAAAAAAAATGACATTGAACAAATTTCCTCAGAACTGGAAAAAGATGATGGTTTTATAACATCTCCTTAAATTTCTCCTTTTTTTTTTTTTCAAGTATCCAGAAGCCATGAGTTGTTAACCCTTAGGCTTGGTATAATAGATATCCCAACCTTTCAGCCTTGATTCCATGATAGATACCGGAAATCTTAGAGAAATGTGGCTTTTCTGCCTACCCCCATGCGTGAAACCGGACCACAAGGAGTTTGTCATCCGGCGGCAGCAAAGTCAGGTTTAGCCAACTACGCTAGCAAGCCGGATGTGAAATTTCTATAAACAGCCAAACAAATTCAAGATGGCCACCATGATCACGTGACATATTTGCATAATATATCTTTTTTTTTCATGTGTAGCAAGGAACCATTCATAATGGTGCTAAAAAGGTTTCACAACCCTAGGGCCATTTTTTATTTTTAATGAATTTATTAAAACTAGTCATTTAAAAAAAAAAATCTTCAAACATCCTCAGTAAAGGGAGACAGTGATGCCCTGGACTGCTGGTCAGAAAAGTGGTAATGATATTAGAATACTGCCATGGGTTTTAGCTAAGGTCACAGGTTTATCAGAAGGAAGTATTGTATGGTGCAAGCAAAAGACACAATAAGAGATGCATGTACGATGGAAAACAAAATGGGAAATGAGAGGATTCAAAGTGTCAGAGCAAAAATCAGACCTGTATAAGGTTCTAATTACATTTGGCAAAGAGTTTAGGGATTGGCCAGCAGGCACTGCAGAATCAGAAATGCAAAAACTGATTCATGATCATTCCTGTCTAGGTGATGTGATTATGTATATAGATGGCTCTATGTTCAGAGGCAGAAGAATTGCATAGGGGTTCATTGATTAGTGCAAACAAAGTCCAGAGTATAATACTACAACATCTAGTTTGAGAATGGAGGTGGAAGCAGTCACACCAGCTTTCCACTGGCCTGAGAACCAGCTGCACATACATGTTGTAATTATAACTGACTCACAAAGCAGGTTAATAAAGGTCAAGACAGGCATGCTTTGTGCAGAGTGGCAAGCATCACTTCAGAGGTCCGAGGTAGTTTTCCTTGTTTTGATATTTTCTCAAAATCATGCAGGGGTGTTGGGAAATGAACAGCAAACAGACTGGCTGATTCTGCACCAATGTGTTGTGAATTTATACATGGCAAGCTACATCTGGTCAAGGCCTGTGGGGGCATATAAATTGATCATTATGAGCTGGAGAAAATAGCACAGCTTTGAGTGTCCCAGCGATCTGGTCAACACTCCACACACAGAGAAAAATCAAATGTTGCTGGCACCACTGGAAATGGAACTCTTTGCTGGCTGTTCAAGATGAGGACGCAGCTTTTTACAAAAATGTTCTGAGTGTTGTAATGTCAGTTCTTAGCTCAACACTCGACACCCAAAGAAACATTTAGAACATCACCACAGAGTCCCATTACTTGGTACAAGACAAAATGACCTCCCAGAACAAAAAATATCTTCACACAAAAAGAAGAGGTCATTTGAGAAACAAAGAAATTATAAAAACTACTGGAACAACCCCTATAATTATATACCCTAAAAAAGCAAAGACTGAAATTGTGTGGCCCCTTTATGAGAATGAATCCAATGATGCCAGAAATGAAAGAGTGCAACATGAAAGTAGAAACACCAGTAGGTAGGGGACGACCAAGAAGAAGATGGACTGAAAGAGTCGATGACATTTTGAGACTTCATAACATCCCAGCATACGGGGCAACCGAGTGTGCTCTAGCTTGGATACTGATCATCTGTTAACATGTGACACATAGCAGAAAAAAGCAGAATATGACCAAAAGAAAGATCAGGTTTACAAATAAACTTACACCCAAAACATGTGTTAGTGAACGGAAAGAACCAGAAAGATATTCCAAACTGCCAATTCATGTTTTTTATACTGCCCAGTGGTAAATTAAAAAGTGAGACATGCAATATGAGAATGTATAATGCATTCCTTGAGACCAAAAGAGTAAGGAAAAGCTAGAAAAACTGACCTTCATTAATTAAAGAGTTTACTTTTTTACTCACCACCATTACATCAGCCCAAGCTAATTTAAAAATTGTTTAACATGATTGACCCAAAATAATTATACCTGTACCAAAATTTTTTCCTCGTTAGTATTCTACAGTGTTGATCCACACAACAGTTATTAATTTCAGGTAACAACAGCAGAACAAAGATGATGGTTTTGTTATAAATGTATACACACAAAAAACAATCTATATCTTGATTATAAGAACAGCCAATTGTTCAGTACTCACCTGAGTTTCTCACAGGCGGCTCAAATACAAGTACACTATCATCAGCCAGGAAGTAGGATATGATGAACCTGCGATCTTGATCAATAGCTTTCTTGGTATCCATGCGGGCCAGGAACCGAAGAACGTTACTGTCAAATCCATGGCGATCATACTCCATGAACTTGATGAAATCACGCTTTAGTGGTTTGGGCAACAAACCTCTGCATGAATTCATGGAATCTTCTTCACTCCCAAATCCATTGTATGGGGGCATCTCTTGTGTTAGCTGACCTTGTGGCTCTTTAGAAAACTTGACTGGTGTCATGTCCACTGAAAAAAATATGTCAATTTCTAGTCAACACATGTCAGCTCTGTGGCTAAGTCAATGCGAACGCTTCGCAATGCAGGGATACCAGGTTTGATCCCAGCTGTGGGCCATGCGCCTCGCGTTGGTTTCTACAGTGGTATCAAGAAAGCCGACCGTCCAGAAAGCAATGGCAAACTACTGGATGTAAATTTGCCTAGAAAAACCACACAACAGCCAGGGGCAGTTGGGGTTGGTTCTGCAACGTCCTGTAAAGGGTACGCAACTAACAATTCAACACATAAAACAGTCACATTTATGTGAACATTTGATTCAATGAAGAGCTGACAACTAGAAAATGTGTTTACATAATTATGTAATTAAGTCTTGTTATATTATTTAGCCTGCCTGTATACAATTTATGTAAGGTGACCCTTCACATACAGACTGATGACATGCTCCAGAAATACATTTTGAAAAAAAATAACATAGCTTTTCCTTGCTTCCATGTTTATATAGGTGGCTTGTCTCAGAACAGTGGTCAGCAACCTTTTTCAGATGGTACAACTGCCCCCCCCCCCCCCCCCCCCCCCCCCAACTTGAGTATATGGCAAGACATGCATGCCTCCATTAAGTATATAGCAAGAACCCCCCCCCATATAATAAAATAGCATCAAAAAGATGAGTAATGTGTTCTGAATCTATAATTAAATGCAAGCGTTATCATATTAAAGAACACTGTCTCAGAAGAACTGCTGGAGTATAACTCACACAAAAGGAAGAGAAATTGAGAAATTAGAGGACTTAAACTGTCGAAAGAGAATAGGGCTTTTGAGCTGAAATGCTATAGAAGGATTCTCGGAATACCTTGGACAAAGAAGAGGAGAAATACTTACATCTTGAAAGATCTGAACATCAAGCAAGATTGGCTAATAAACAGCATCCTGTCTCCGAAGCTGAAATTTTTTGGTCATATCAAGCGCCACGAGGGATTGGAAAAAATTAAAGCAGAAGGCATGGTACCAGGAAGGAGGGGCAGGGGCTAACCGACACAAAGATAAGCACAGGATATAAGTGACTCCTTGAGTATGAAAGTACATGAGGCGGGAGAACTGGCGAGAGACCGAGTTTTATTCAGGCAGACTGTGATAAGAGCAACGTTCTGCAAAAGACCTACTACATGATGATGATGAAAACTGTAATAAAAAAAAAGGTGCTTGAGTTGATTCCATTGATGATAGCTAAAGGATTGCACAGGATAGAAGAGAATGGAGGACTAGACTGTGAGCCCTCTGTGGTCAATAACAGCATGACATGATGATGATGAATTGCTTATGCTGAGTCAACTGGTTGCAATTAGCATGCATTCAGTGAAAAAAGTAGTGATACATTTGTTTGTGTCTGCTAAAAAAATGTGAATGGTTGTTATTGCCTTTGTCATCCTAATAGTTGCTCTAAACAAGTTTGAATTTGAGGCGTATATCTGTATGAAAGAAATTATCTTTTTATACACACACATATGCACGTACGCACGTGCGCGCGCACACACACACACACACACGTCTTCAAAGCCTGACACTGAAAGGACAAACAGGACTAGAGGAGGAGGACGAGGAGAAGTAGAACATCTTATACTTTAATTATTATTCTGTATTTTAATTTAACATCAAGCATGCACAGATGAAATAATTAAAACAATATGCTATAAATTGTGCACACCTACCTATGCCATATTTGTTTTTATAGTACTCGCGGGTAAAGTTATCACAGTCACATAAAATAAACTTGCGTCCCCAGACACTGATCACAGCACCCAGTGATAGATCTCGGTCGGTAACAAACTCTGTGCTGACCTCGCCAGTCTACATGGAAGTAATAAGATCGTTAGTGTCAACAAAATCTGATACAAGATAACATCACAGGTGATGACATTATAACAGACCAGGGCTATTCAACTAGCAGCCTGCAGGCCAAATCTAGCAAATTTATAACATAAGCACTAACTAATGGATAGCGTCAAATTAATATTTTTTTTGTTTCAGTTTTAACCAACTTATTTATTCTTCTGTGTTAGTGTTGGAGAGAATGCAATGTGGCATCTTACCAGTGTAATTGGCAATAAAGAAGAAGAAGAAGAAAAGCGCTGAGTGAATACCAAAATGTACACAGCTGCATGATAAATAGCACACTCCATAGAAGAATATCCTCTCCTTCTGCAAGCGTGGAGAAATACTATGTTCAGGTTCTCCCCTTTCCTGGGAAACTCATTTTCATGCACTTGTAAAACATGGTTCTGTATGCTTAATTTGATGTTAGTAGTTCACACGATTAATTCATAGCAGATCCATAGCAAGAGATAATATACAGACAGACCTGCAAACACTCGGTGTCACCAACTGGAAGAGAAAGCCAGCTAGAGATATTAATGGAGGCAAGTAAGATCTGCAGCAATGAACCTCAAGTGCTCGGAATGCTGAAGAAGAAGAAGAAGAATTCACAAGATTACCGCTCAAAAAGCAAGTTATAACATAAAGGATGTTAGTCACTGCTCAGATGAATTATTCACTGAAAGGGAGGGCTGTACCAAATATTCGCTTCGTATTCGCTTCGGGGCCAAATATTGGACCTAATAACTATTTGGTATTCAGCCCAATAGTTGCGGTCAGGCCGAATACGAATAGTGGTTACCTTACATCCGTTTCTTGACTGGTAGAAAATAAACATATCAAGATCTCCCACCTTGGTTCATACTGTCAAGCGTTATCTTTGTGCACCACCTACAAAGCGTACCAAGTGAACCTTTGTTTAGTACAGCTGGAAATACCTTCAGTAAGACAAGAAGCTGCCTTAATGCTGACAACATGGAACGAGAAAGCTAATGCCGCTTTCATGGATTAACTAAGCTGTCAGTGAAAATTTTCAAGTTTAGTTACTTGTTATAAAACTAAGAATACTTTCATTCTTATGTATTAATTACCACAGACTGACTGACTGAAGGATGCAAAACATGAAATGTTTTTAAATGTTTACTATTCTGTACTATATTTTGTGAAGTAAAATTTCAGATGGAAGATGCATTACTGAAATAAGAAACAGAATAGGGCAAGCAAAAACTGCATTTTATCAAATGAAAAATATATCTTTGTCATTCAAGGTTAGAAAAAGAATTCTTGCTTGCTACATTCATCCAGTTTTAACATATGACTGTGAGTCCTGGACAATCAGCAGGCAGGCCAAACAATTTCTTGAGGCCTCAGAGATGTGGTTTTACAGAACAATGCTTATAAAACCTTGGACAGCAAAGCAACCAAGAGGTTTGGATAGTGGTGGGAACCCGAAGACAACTACTCACAGGCAACAGGAGACAGTCATTATTTTTCGGCCAAGTTATAAGATGAGGGAAAATGGAACATTTGGTTGATAATGGAAAGATATGTGGAAGGAGGGATAGAGGAAGACAACGAGAGAAGATTTTTAACAGTCTTGTTGGCATGGAGGTGTGTCAGCACACGAACTAATACATGCTGCAGAAGATCGCAGATTGCAGCGAGGCATGATCGCCCATGCCAGTCGGCAAAGCACCTGATGATAATGATTCACTAATTCATATTCGGCCGAATAGTTGGTCCAGCTATTCATATTCGGCCAAATAGTGAAAATCACTATTCGGTGCAGCCCTACTGAAAGGTATAAGTTTTTATGTGGGAACCAAATTTGTGTATTAATTACATTGTGTTGGGAAGAGATGGCTTCAGTGGATTGACTGATTGGCACCTTTGCAGGCTTCGGTAAGAGTGTGTGTTCATGAGCACCTGGAGGTGGAAGTTACTGTACAGGAATGCAGTAATCAAGTACACTGTTTTTGATCATCCCATCAGCTAACTGGCAAGCTGATAGAAGAAGGAGGAATAAAATCATTCCTTTCAAATGTTGAGGCTGAGGTATAACAGTATGGAGGATTTTCTCATTGCTTCTGGGTGTCTATATAGGTGACAGTTCAAACATCACTCCCTTCTCAGCAGTTTTATAATATTTGTTGCTGTTTTGTGACTGTTTACTCTGTTAACTATTCTTCTAAGACAAGCTTGCCCATGCAAAAACATCTGGACGCTTATCCAGCTTTCTACTCAACTATCTTATTTATCTATGTGTCTTTTGTATGGACAGCTGATATTATTTTCTGAATGAATCCTGTATTACTCATCCCTATGTGTCTTTCCTGTAGTTCAAAAAGATATCTGGTAATCTGGTAATCTGGTAATCTTAGTTTCAGCTTCATAGAAAACGGGTCACCCCACAGTTGCTCCGCTCCTGTGTCAACAAAAAAACACAGAATGTTAATCCCAGTCCCTTGTGGAAAGATTGACAGACTGCTGTCTCAGCATATGCACTAGCATACACATGCATTAAGAGTGTGCCATTCGAAGTGCTAATACAACAGTCCGACATTAGAAATGTAGTTAATCATGGATGGTAGCAGAAGTCACCAACAGATCAGCAGTTGCACATGCAATCAATTTTAATCACAAAATAAAAAAAAATAAAAAGTAAAGATCCCTTTTTCACGCCTTTCGGCGCATCGGGCATATGGGCAGAGCGTCCCATATTTTTACAGACCATCAGCACTCTGTGGGTAATGTGGTCAGCATTACGCCGGCTGTCTTTACTTTCCCAGGACAACCCATCCTGGTACCCATTTTAGGCTGGGTCGACCTGCGATGTCCCATACCACGATAAAAATCCGCGCAGCTTGCAGTGGGTTTCGATCGCGGTATGCTGGCTTACGAGTCGGACTCGCAACGCCTTAGCCACGGACGCAGCAAAATGGCACCACCAATATTGTGACAACAGGCATCGCGCCATTTTCTGAATCTACAATTCACACCACCACATTGGTCACAGTCGAAAAACATTCCAAATGAAATCCCCAGCTCACATAGTGCCATGCAATCAACTCAGAAACTGGGTGATGAAACTATATCCTTTCAGTCTACAAATGGAGCAAAAATGCAACGACCACTGTCTGGCAGAAACAACAACAAAAATGGCCCCAGCTCAAAACAGTGGTCATGCCTAGTGTCCATTCTGACCAGAAGTCTGAGGTGTATAGTTCAAAAAGAACTACAGGACATGATAGACATTGTGGTGGTAGAAATTGGAAAAATGGACCTCAGTTTAAATAATGGAAAGACAGAAGTAATGGTGGTATCAAAGAAAAGAATTATTCCTGAATGTGTAATAAAAGTCAATGGTGTTATTTTGGGACAAATACAGAAATGTAAGTATCTAGGCACATGGATAACATCAGATGGAAGATGCATTACTGAGATAAGAAACAGAATAGGACATAAATAGAAATAAAATCCATCTTATGCGATATATCTCTGTCAATGAAAGTTAGAAAAAGAATTCTTGCTTGCTATATACATCCAGTTTTAACATATGGCTGTGAGTCCTGGACAATCGGTTGGCAGGCTAAACAGTTTCTTGAGGCCTTAGAGATGTGGTTTTACAGAAGAATGCTTAAAATACCTTAGACAGCCAAAAAGAGCAACCAAGAGTTTTTGAAAGAGGCGGGAGCCCGAAGACAACTTATCACAGACATCAGAAGGAGACAGTCATCATTTTTCAGCCATGTTATGAGAAGAGGGAAAATGGAACATGTTGTGACTACTGGAAAGATCTGTGGAAGGAGGGATAGAGGAAGACAACGAAAGAAGATTCTTGACAGTTTTGTTGCATGTCATGGAGGTGTGTCAGCACACGAACTGATACATGCTGCAGGAGATCGCAGATGGTGGAGAAGTATGATCGCCCACACCAGTCAGCAAGGCACCTGATGATGACGATGATGATGTTTCTTTGTCTCCATGAAAGGAATTTTGTTGGGCGTCCCAGTTTTAGCAGCCTTCCAATTCCATCATCTAAATTATTTTCATCTATATAGGGTCCTTGAAACCCCTGAAGAGCACCTTCAACACATATATATGGTGAAGTCAACTATACATATATACATATACACATACACATACATATACATACATAAATATATATATATATATATATATATATATATATATATATATATATATATATATATATGTGTGTGTGTGTGTGTGTGTGTGTGTGTGTGTGTGTGTGTGTGTGTGTGTTGTGCATGCGTGCGGGCATGCGTGCGTGCGTGCGAGCGTGCGTGCGTGTGTGGATTTTCTCAAGTCCAGCCACTTGCCAACTCAGTCATCAAACACCATTACTTACAACAGTGAGATGATACAATGATTGTATTGTTCCTGTCTATTGGATCAGGGAAAAGGGTTTAGAGAGGCTGGCGAATTAGACATCACTGAACTATATCTTGTAGCTTCCTATAACAGGAAAGCAAAGTAAAAGCTAACATTACCTGTAGATTCAACCACCTACCCTGCCACCCAGCCAACTGAGGAAAGCTGGGCATCATCTACCTGGGAACAGAAAAGAGGATCCTCCTTCTGTCAAGCTTCATTTTCTTATAATCTCAGGTGAAATCTGCAGTGAGAGACTTTGCCAATATCACCACACTTCTATTATGTATAAAATTGACTCAGACAAGAATCCACGATAACTCATGAAATTTTCTCTACTTAGTGAGCTGTCTACACTACTGTGTCTCACTACACACATTGGCATCCTTAGTCTGTAGTTTTGTTGGTAAAAATTCCTAGTTGTCTGGCTACTATAGCCTTTATCTATTTTATATTATTAAAATTATGAATATTTTTCCTAAAGTTTTGATTTCTTTTATTTTCTTCCCAACACAGTTATGTGGATTACATTATTATTATCTGCTTTGGGTCATCTGTACCAATAGTAGTGGGGGAACTTGAAAGTGATGATGGTGTCAAACAGGCACAGGACAGCTAAAGAAAGATCTGGATGTTGCAGTGCTCAGTCTTCCTCATCCCAGGGGTTGTTGATTTGATTTTATGTTTCTGTGCTCAACCCTAATGGACAAAATATGAGCCACCAACAAGCTTTAACCTCCTTGTGTGGTGTGAATCTGGTTCTCAGAATGAGAAAGGAAGCCCTCTCACCCTGGAAAAAACATAACAATAACAGTAGTAGAATAATTACCTTTAAACTGTCAAGAATATAGCGACTGCCAGCACCAGTTGGACCAAACACATTGAGCACTGTCCTGTCTGTAAGCACACCTGGCAGGGGAAGACTACTAGGGTTCTTTGGTAGTTTCCCACGTTTTAAAAATACAGAGACAGTGTCTCGGCCAGCGTTAGGAGGAACAATCTGTTAGAGTTAGGGGAAATGATCTATTACATATGGAAAAAACAATACAAATAGTTTTTTCTTATAATGGCTTGGCTACTGTCAGAACTTCAAACATAAAATCAAAAGTGTTCAAATGTATCACATTCACACAAAAAAGGCAAGACAGACAAACAAATCAAACTATTACTGGTAAAAATTGGAACTCTCAGCTTGCTGCTGAAGATGGGGATGGAGCACTTAAAAGAGTGTCCCAAAAGCTGTGATATCAATCCTTAACTCAGTTTAACTCAATGTAACAAAGTGTAATATGTGTATATGTCACATTTCCATGTAACATAAATACAGGAGCTACAGTAGCACAGTGAAAGGCATCAATGTGGAAACAGGCCATTGCTTATTTACATAGGAATATTGTGTGAAGCTGTAGATTTACAATTGTAGCAAGTATCGATGTAATGTGTATATGCAGCAAACATAATCAACACATTTGAATGTGCAGCATATGTAGATAACACATGTTGATTTTAGCATATAAACATATAGTTATATCTGCTTGCTAAATCACTTTTTTCATTTACTGCTGTTAAAACAATTATAGTATAGAACTAATCAAATAGGATAAACATATGCTACATGGGTGTGTAGCATATGTAGATACAGCACATGTAGACCTACCATATGTCCTCACAGATCTAAGACAAGCAATAGTAGCACATTCATTAGCAGCACATTTAGATGCAACATATCCAATGGTAGAAAATAGGTAAAACATATTAAATTGCAGTACAGATAAATTTATAATATGTTAGCATATGTCATGGTATCATTTGTATGTGTGTGCGCACGTGTGTGTGTGTGTGTGTGTGTGTAAAGCGTACATCATGCTAGCTCAAACACACACACGTGTGTAACACAAATCATGGAAGAATGTACACACAAATACACAACATGTATATATATATATATATTTATATGTGTGTATGTGTGTGTGTGTGTGTGTGTGTGTAACATACATAATATAATATATATGTCAGTTGTTTTAACATAGGAATATGTAGGAATAACTTTTGAAAGGAGCCCGTCTTTTGAATACCATGTGGAAGAGGTGGTTTTAAAGATAAGGAAAGGATCCAGTGCTTTGAAAGTGATGGCATCAAAGGATATGGAACAGAGAATGCTCTATACACTCTATTAGCAACTGATTATTTCCATGATGGAGTATGGTTTGGGAGTGCTAATATTATCTCACACCCAAAATAGAGAAGCTAGCGCACATGCAAAACGATGCCATGTGAGTCATTTTAGGATGTACATGAGACACAACAATCAGGTGCATGCAGCACATACTTGCCTTGCTGTTCCTATATGAAAGATACAAGGTGTTACAGGCAAAAATGTACCTTGAAGTCACAATGGAGAGGGAACTCTGTCTACATAAGACCTCGTGGAATAGCAAGGAACATCAGCTGAAAAGAGGTAGCCCTTGGATGGTGCAAGCCTAAGTCACTTGAAGAAATGTTTGTAACACTGACAAAACAGTGCATGGTGGGGAAGTGGATCACACAGTTGCCCAGCAACACCAGCAACCTATGCTTGGTTAATATAAATTTCTGTAACCTATGGTGGGATTTCCATGGTTTGAGATGAGCTCTGTCCATATTCCATAGTTGTGGATTTTGGGCTGTACAAAAGATACAGCCAATGCAGACACCTTTTTTAGAGGTGCCTAGTGGTCATGTTCTTAGTAAACTTGTTTCCAAAGCGAAGCGCACTTGCCATTTTGAGGTGACAAGTTTGATTCATGGCACGGTAACTTTAGCTTACATTTTTATGTCATCTAGAGTGTTACTAATATTCTTCTCCCATCCTTTTTAGGATGATATTTTTCATTATTTGAAGCCCTACTCTGGCTTTTGCCAGGGGCCGCAATATAGCCTGGCCATAAATATGGCCTAAAGGCTGAACGCGGTTTCTGGGACCTCTCCACGGTGATCCTCACCCACATGGTGTCACATTGTGTCATCTGGTGTTTATCGCTTGTGTGATGTCCTGGTGGGGTAGAAAGTCAGTTATTCAGTCATCTAGTGTGTCCTTCTATCTTTATACTTCTTTCTATAAATGAGGATCAGTAAGTTGTCTGGTTGTTTATTACATAATGTCCAGCAAAACAGACTTGCCTAGAGTGATAGTTACTCTGGAACAAGGCTGGCAGTAATGGATAGCTAGCGAAACAGCTGGAACGAGGCTGGCAGTAATGGATAACTAGTGGTGCAAGACCTGATCAATAAAAATTCATGCCCAAGTGACATCCTTATATATATATATACAGATGGGTCTGTAGTGAAGGATAAGAAGAGTGTGTGGGGTTCTTTGCAAAGGTGAATCAGGCAGCCATCAGAAGTCTGTGCCAATTTCATAAATGACAGTGACAGGCATTCTGTGTGGTTTTCATTACCACACAAAAGGAGCAACTATGGAGTGACCTGACTGCTGTGATGTTAGAACTGTGATTACCTGATTACACATATATGTAGCATACATAATGGTAGCAACCATGTATGCATGTGCGGGTACACACATACATACAATCACACACATGTAACGTACATCATGGTCTGACATATATATATATATAACATACATTGTGAAGCATCCTCAGATTATTGTTCTGTTGTGCCATCATATGTCATAGAGGGCAATTAAAGTCTATTTCTGCATCCCATTCTGTGTTGTGCCATCACTTCGATATCATGAATGGAATCTAGTTTAGCACCTCTGGCTTCTCTCATCAATGTTTGCCTTAGGGTTTCTCTAGGATGTCCCTGACTCCTCTCAATGCCTGTCTGATGATTATTTGTTGGTTTCTTCTCAGGGTGTCTCCAATATGGCACCATCTTCTCTGTCAAAATAACTGATGATACAAGAGCTGCCTAGACATTTTTCTGATTTCGTCACCCCTCTTAAATTCACAATTTATTATGTTCATAATTTTCCATTGGCATCTGTTTTCAAACAAATTTAATTTTTATTTGTGTCTTTGGTGATTCTCAAACTTTCCCTGAAATTACAAGTTAAAATACATAACCTGGTTCTAAAACTATACAATTTAGAATTTTCTATTTTGTTCAGAATTCTAAAAAGCTACTAATGCCTTGCCAATATGTATCATTATTTCTTTCTGTGTGTTTCTTTATCAGCCCATAAATAAGTAAATTGTTCTAGTACATTGATTCTGTTGGTCTCCATTGTTACATCTTCTTGACTGTTACTGGTGTCTTCAGTATATTTGTCTTTTCATGACTTTTTTACAGCCCAATTATTGATGCTATTTTTGCACTACGTTTGGAGTCAAACAGAAATGTATTTTATCTCCTCTGTGCGTCACACATGGTATGACACATTTGTTTACTACAATGACTTCCTTTCATGTGAATTTCTAAATTTCTTAGTAATTAATATTTCACAGGGTTAGAATCTGGCTCCATGCTCAACCTTCCTCGTTTCTCATCTGAGCTTGGGACTGGCAATGGTGCAGATAACACATCATGCCATCGCATGTGTTGTGCGTGCGTGTGTGTTTGACATGCATCATGGTACCATATGGAAAGGTCCATGGTATATGCTACCATTCCATATGGTACCATACATCATGATGGCACATGCAGATGTAGCAAATGCTATAGAAAAATATGTTTGTCTAGTAAATTGTAGTATATGGGTGTAGAATATGTCATGGTATCATATTTATATGTAACATACATCATTGTAGCACATATAGATGTAGCAAATGCCATTGTAGCACATGTATAATTAGCATGTTTCATTGTAGCATATTCCATGTAGGTTGTAGCATATCTTATATATTTAAACTAGTGAAAAACCTCTTAAAACTGCTTCACAATTCTCTAAGAACTTAAAAAGACAACACCAACTTGCCTCTCTGATCTCTATGGTGTCATCGGCCAGGTAGTAATGCAGCACCATCTGACGGACATCCCCAAACAAATTTTCAGTATCATCCCAGTGACAGTAGAAGCGAAGCACATGGTGGTCATGATCCAAAAATTGCTTCAGAGTGTCACATTTCTCATATGGTCTTAGTGGATGCATAGACTCATCCAACTGTCAATAAAATAACATTATATACGTTTTGGTGGGTGTGTGCGTGTATGTGAGCGCGCTCATGTGTGTGTGTGCATGTGTGTGTGCGTGTGTGTGCAGAGCCGCCTTAACGCATGGGTCCATGGGGAGCCTTACCAGTATAGGGCCCGACACTAATTGTATAAGTCAAGTGAATTGCCAGAAATAAAAATATGTTTGATATTTAAATTATTAATATTTAATATAACACTTAACTATATTTCTTCCCCCCCCCCCCCCCTCAAATATGGAACGTTTCTTTTTATGCATCCCTATCTTTTCTCATGGAGCAATGATGCAGCAGACTTTGTTGTTGATTTTCTCAATAAGAACAACATTCCACTATCAAACTGCCATGGTCAGTCACACAATACTGCCTCAGATATGCCTGGACTGCAAGCGTGGCTTCATCTATGTCTCCTGTGCCTGAACCTGAGAGAAGTAAGAGCAGCAGAGGGCTGTCCACAGTTCATGAACTCTTTGACATTGTTGAGCATCTGTATTCATTTTTTGCTGGTTTTACTCATGTTAGAATGTACTGGCATCATCTTTGGGAACAGATTTTATGGTTAAGCATCCACCTGACACATGATAGTCAGCATAGTCTGATGCTGTGCATGCTCTGTAAAAATGGATGGGGGGAACAAGAGAGTAAAAAAAATATGCTCTTGATTCCTTTTCAGCTGACAATGAAAAACTAGTGAATTCAAGAGGGTTAAAGCAGAGGGAAAAGCCTGGAAAAAATCTGTTTCAAAATTCTTTAGAAATGGCATACTAGACAGAATAAAAAAAACAAGCAATATCCTCTAATTATAAGATGTGAACATTGTTGCTGTCATAAATCTTCTTGAATCTAGTTTTGTTGCCCAGCTACTGAGCTGAGTGCATGGTGTGACACTGTGAGCTGTGGATAAGGAGCAGTGATGGACATTCTGTGTGGTTTTCGTTGGCGTATAAAACTGAGTAATTATAGGGTGACCTATTTGCTATAAAGCTGAAACTACTGAGTAATTATAGGGTGACCTATTGCTATGGCGGCGTCCGTGGCTAAGGCGTTGCGAGTCCGACTCGTAAGCCAGCATACCGCGATCAAAACCCACTGCAGGCTGCGTGGATTTGTGTCGTGGTATGGGACGTCGCAGGTCGACCCAGCCTAAAATGGGTACCAGAATGGGCTGTCCTGGGAAAGTAAAGACAGCCGGCTGACCACATTACCCATCGAGTGCTGATGGTCTGTAAAAATATGGGACGCTCTGCCCATATGCCCGATGCGCGGAAAGGCGTGAAAAGGGATCTTTACTTTACTTTACTTTTTTACTTTTATTTGCTATGAAGCTGAAACTATCTTAAACTGACTACCTAATATTTGAGTCAATAAAAGCCTTTCTCCAAGAAACTAGTGACCAATTTAATTAATATGATTTCAAAGCCAGGAATATGTGTCCAGATACAGATAACAGGTATGAGATAAAACGGGAACAACAACAAAGGCTGCATCTTAGTAGATATGATGGATCAACAAAGCTGCCTGATAAGATACTTCCCAGTAAAACTGAAAAGTTCATGGTGGAAACATTCCTTCCTACACTGGACACTAACCTTTGAAATGACAATACGTGCAGAGACTTATTCACATTTTTAAAACACATTACTCAAGAAAAGTGTGAACGTGTATCACAGAGACCATAAATACAATTACCTATTTTTATGAATGTGAGTATCTCAAACACTACATGGTTTTATTGAAAATTGTGAGACTCTCCCTGCTCTGTACAGAAAAATAGTTCTGGACAGTTTGAAATCTATTTTTCTGAATGTGGAAATAACTTTCAGAGTGTCATTGTGAATTAAGGTAAACTGTAAGGAGTGGGTTCTCTTTCAAAATTGATATTTTTTAATTTAACAAAATTTGTTTTGTAGAAATATGGGGTAGCATTGTTTGACTCATGTGGATGGAAAATAACATCATGAAGACCACTTATTTCAAGCCAATAATAAAGCAATTATGTGAATAGAACTAACACAAATGCTTGTTAAAATAACAAATTTGTAGTAATTTCATATTATGCTACCTACTCTATGTGTATATTTCAACATCAGTCTTGTTGAAGTGCCAATAAAATAAATATGTGTTTAATGTTTGTGACCATTTACATTTCATTCCTGTGAGTGGTTGTCTTAGAGGTCCTAGCATTGGTTTGCTGATCATGTTGTTAACATAGCCTTCTGTGTGTGTGTGTGTGTGTGTGTGTGTATGTTCGCACCTGTGTGCACCTGCATGTGTGCGTGCGTTTGTTGTACTAGAAAACACATGATAGCAAATATCTGTTTAGGGAAACGTAACAGGATACAAAACTGTTCTTCCAACTCAGTCAAACAGCACACAATTATGTCAAAGTTCCCAGTTCTTCCAACTCAGTCAAACAGCACACAATTATATAAAAGTTCCCAAAATTTGTCACGTGCTATCTGCTGTTTAAACAATCTCAGAAAAGATTAGGTCAAATATAACAAAAAGTGAGCGGTTAAAGGGCAACGAGAAAATACAGTAACGTCAGATGCTAGGGAACCCTTAACGCCTTTAATACAGAGTGAGAAAAACCTCACAAGTATTAGTCCGTACAAAGTTATTGCTTTGTCCTCATAATGAGGAAAGGAAAGATGTAGAGATCAGACGATGCACCAGAAATTACTACAAAAAGTAAAGTATGAGATATGAGTTAAGAACTGACATTACAGTATTCAGGACATTCCAATAAGCCCTCTGCCCCATCTTTCCAATTCTGATGGTACAAGCCTGATTGTATGTCTGACTTCTTGCCACTTCCCCAAGTGTTAACTCTTTGAGTCCCAGTGAACGCATCATGTGCTAATCAGTTACAACCCACTGGCCCAATTGACGCGTGACAAGTGAAGATTTTTAATTTACCGCTGACCGGTAATAAAACACGGACCCCTCAATTTCAATTTTCAACTTCCTTTCGAGTTTCTTTGTGTCTGATATCAGGTGTGCTCATTTGGAAACATGGTTTAAAAGCCAAAAATATGGTTTATTAAGTGTTTGTTTGAGAAGAATATGGCCGCCGAGCAGTATTCTACAAACATGCTAACATGATTTACAGCTTTAGAAGCCTCAGATTTAAATAATGTATGTGTTTTTTAGATTTATCTGAAGTTACATAGATAACGTTGTGAAGTAGACTTGTTTCAGTCATTTACAGAGTCAAACTTTGATGAGGGATAGGTCTAATGTGTACAACAATAGCAAAGTCAGCTGGCATAAACAATAAATATTCGTGAAACAGATATTTTCTTTGGTGTCAGTTAGTTCTAATGCTATTCCCCTTATTTATTATTTAGCAGCCTAGCTACAAATTACAGGCAAAATTAGTGTTACAAAAACTTTATTTTGTGTAAAGGTACTAATTGTTTTGTCAGTTTTCTTTACCAAATAGTGGTGCTCTGTTTTGATGCTTCAAAAGATTCTCTGGAACAAAATTTAATTTACAGATTGACTTTATATTTTACTTATACATTACTAAGTGGTTAATATTCATTTGTGATTCATTTGTGATATATTTTAACAAGTTTTCTCTGAGTACCATGGTGGTAAGTTGAAATTTTAAAATGTTATTTTACTAATTTCTGTAAACATACTGTCTGTTTATTTACTAATATTTAATTACTAACACAATTATTTATTGTAGCAGTATTCTATTATTATTCCCAAACAATCTCTGGTCACTTTGATGTATAATATGTTTATGTTGCTTGGCATTTGAATTAGTATGGTCTGTTTTAATGTCTTACACTTGTGATGAGACTTGTGAAATTAAAAATTTCATTACCACTCCTTGGGCCTCTGATGCTAAACCCCCTAGGACTCAAAGAGTTATGGATCGGCCTGATCCCTGGTCACTCTTTGCTGCATCATTCTCTGCCGACTGTGATGATCTATTTGTGCCTCTGTACTATTTTTTATGAAAACCTACAGGTACACCTATAAAGTTTGCAACCAAATTGGCACCTTCAAATGTTGACAGTGGATTTCTAAAGAAACAAGAGGACTTTAATACACTGCCAACCAGACCTAAATACAACCAAAATATGGCAGATGAGTGGACACTAGAAGACCCATGCAAATGGTTCATAACAGCAGAAATAAATGCTGATGGGTATACATACAAGCTTGTTCTTATGGCATTAACTGTTCTGAGGCTTACCCATATCCTTATCCTCAACAAACCTGGAATAGATTTCCATAGCAGGCTGCTATAAAAAATGTCACTCTTATTAAATTTAGACAGTAGAACGAGGGTCACACCAAGGAAGAAATCTAAGCCTAAACATGCAATATTCCCAAAGACAAAAGTAAGTAAAGTAAAGGACCTTTTTCACATCTTTAGGCGTATACGGCATATAGGGCTAGACCATTATTTTATAGACCAATCAGCACAAGATGGGTGATGTGGTTAGCATCAAGCCAGCCACCTTTACTTCCCAGGACTGATCCTGGTACCTAATCAAGGCTGGGTCTACCTGGGAGCCAAGGTCATTTAAAAAAAAAATCAGGCTCCATCAGGGAGCGAACCCACGACGACTCTTAAAAACAACAGTGGAAGCAGATATCCACTGCCACCAAATTCCAGAGTGGAGATGGCGTAATTTTGAGTTTCAATGAAAAAATAACCTTGCAGGTATGTCTTCTTGTCTTCTGTTTTTTGTCTTCCAGCAAAGCACGTAAAAGCCATTAATCAGACCAAGCATTTTTGTCTACTTGTCACTGGTCGTTTATATTTACCAGCTAACATTTTTTTTAACAGGACATCGGTCTCACAAAAACCTCCTCATTTGAATCTGTTGACAAGCATGGCATGACACATTTAAAAACACTCTGTGTTGAATGTGAATTCTTCACATCAGTATATAATTAAGTTGAAACTCACCAAAATTCTAATCAAATATATCAATATCACTTTAGTTAATAAAAGTACACAATTTAATTTACTGTTCCTATTTTTGACTCTACAATAAAACCTTTACAGTGATTTATAGTGCTTACAGCTTTTCTGTAAACCATGTAGGGATCCTCAGGGGGTTTGTTTGGTCGTTGAACATTTGTACCCATCTTCCGCAGAAAGTTTTGAGTGAACTGATCACAGTCAATAATCTTGAAAACTTTTGAGTAGAGGTTGATCTCTGAGCCAATATTGAAATCTTCAGCTGTGTAGAATTCATCTTCATTGGGTGGTGGCCGTGGTATTCTGTGACGTTTGATAACAGTTCCTATTTCAAATTAAAATATAATTTGAAATTATCCATTTTTGAAACAGGCGACACAATTTTAAATTACAAAACAAGATATGAAACACTATGTTGTTTTTTTCTTTTTTTGTGTGTGTAAACGTCTTTTCTTTATATCTATATTTTTTTTTCCTCAAATGATCTGATACTTTAGAGTATTTTTAAACTTATTAAAATGTAAAAGTAAAGGACTCCTTTTCATACCTTCCAGAATATTGAGCATATACAGCTAGATTACATTTTATTAACCAACCTGCATTTGGTGGGTTATGTGGTCAGCATCACATCACTCACCTTTAATTCCCGGGATTTTACCTGGTACCTATTTAGGACTGGGTTGACTTGGAAGCCAGGGCCATTTGTTTTTAAAGTCTGGCTTTATCAAGGCCTGAACCCACGATCTTCCATTTGGCAGGGGAGCGTCTTGCCGCTAGACCATTGTGGCTCCTAAACTAATTATAAAAACAAATCTAATAAATAGCTCCTTTCACACATACAAGTAAATAACATAATTATCTCACTAAAATATAACCACTATTAGGTAAAATCTTCCAGTGTGGGTTCCAGAACCGCTTTGTAGGAAAGAGAATACTCCTACCCTAAAAAGCATGTCATAAGAGTCGAGTGATTAGGGGTTCCTTCAAAATAGCAGTGCATCTGTCTAAGAGGTAAGTAACCAACAATCTGTGTACAAATAACAAATAAGCCAGATCTGTCAAATGGATTTGCAACAAAACTCAAGTATTGGAACAAGATTAAAGTCCAGAGTTAGACAAACAACCAGAACATTTTGCCGGAGTTGATGAATGAGAAGAAGAAAAAGGTAAAAATAAAAAGCACCAAAAAAAAAATTATTTATTTTATGAATCTTTTGTTCCTCAGTATTTTCTCTTTTTTTTCCCTAATCAGTTGTCATGTTCAACAAATTTCAATAATTACTTCAACTCATTGTTTGCCAAATAGTTTTTAATGTCAACTTATTGTGTCCTCTTACTTCAAGCAAATGTCTCAAATAGGATGAGTTTTTAAAAAAAAAACACTACATTAACTTCTCCTGTACTGGGCAACTCACCATACCTTCCTTGGTTAGTCCAAAGGTAGAATATTTTAAGAATATTTTCTACCTCAGACATTTTGCTAAATTAACTCTCTATCATAAATGTTAGTCTGGTTCTTTCTGTCTCATAGCATTATTATTTTAACTTCTTTAGATTCAAACTTTAAAAGTAAGTTGTGTACCATTCACAAGTCTATGAAGAACCACACCCAGCAATTTGCTGGTTGGTACTGAAAGAGTTAGTGATTAGCTAACTGTAACAACAAATGTAGAACATGTAGTGTAAACAATTTAACCTTGAGCGATAGCAGCATTTCTTAGTCGTGGCTCAACAACTTGAATTGAATCATCTTCTAGGTAAAAATAAATCTTGCAGTTTCTAATCCTAAACTGCTCTTCCCTCTTTTCATGCACTGCTTCTTGAAAGTAAGCATCAAAGCATAGAACCTGTAGAGAGAAAAAAAATTAACATCAACTTTACATTTAATACTCAACCTAAGTGTTCTGTTAAATGGAATATCATATGTTGCAAAGACAATACTAGCATTGAGTGGGTAGAGAACAGACACCTGGAAGATCTGAATTTCGCAGATATATTGTTCTGTTAAGTAAAAATAACAAAGAGATGTAAAAAATAATTTGATGATTTGTCATCTACAGCATCAAAAACAGGACTACAAATAAGTAATGAGAAAACAAATATAATAAAGATACCAACAACAGGTCATGTAGATGTCTTGCTAAAGAAAAAAAAACAATAAAAGTAACGGACCATTTCACCGATTTGGGTAGCATTTTTTACCCTAAAGTATATACAATGACGGAAATTATAATAAGCATTGGCAAAGCAACAACAGTCTTTAAAAGCCTTAATAAAATATGGAGCTCCAAGTTATACCTCTTCAAGTCCAAACTATGAATCTTCAGTTCTAAAGTTATTTAAATTCTAACATATGCCAGCGAAAGTTGGAGAACCACCAAAGATGGAGCAAAAGTGGAATGTATTTGAAAATAAATATCTGAGAAAAATCAAGAACATAAAATGGGATGAATTCAAATATAAAATGAGATGAATTAAAAAAGAGCAAAGAGATCAGAGAAATATCTGGACAAATACCTGCACCAACTTCAATAAGACAAAGAAAGTGGAGATATATTTGGGTCCACTCTGAAATAAAATGAAAAAAATTAATCACTGAAATAGGTGAAAGAAATGGTCTGAGACAAATAGGACATCCAAGTGAAACATTAAGGGAAATATTATTACAAGAAGCTAAAAATTCTGGACTGAACTTCATATCAGAAACTGAAAAAGTTGTATGCAATAGAGCGGAGTGGAGGAAAAGAATGTGAGCCCTATGTGATGTCTAGCGGCACACAAAGGGTGATGATGATGATGATGATGATGATGATGATACATGGCATAGGACAGTATGTGATTAGTGCTGTTGTTGGCACCTGTCCATGTATCTAGATAATAGTGTTAAATTGTGCTATGAGGAGGCATGAAACACACAGCCCATGGCGAGTGTGATTATCAAGACCAGCCCACATTAGGAGAAGTTTTTCACAATTATAGCATGTGATTTCAGGATTGATGTTGCCATCTTTTGTGTTTAGCGTGTTTCTTCGCAGATGCTTAGCTTTCATCCTTTCTGAAATCATTTCTTCCTTCCTGATGTGGTTCCCTCTCATGCAACACAGCCTTTTGTTTCAAGTCCACCTCAATGCTTGTTTTATTCATGTCCCATTTGCACATATCTTTATATCATAGGGAGGTTGGCCTTGACATCTTCGGCCCATCTGTGATTTACCTTAGAAGATGTCCTTAGGGATTCTGCCATCCTCTATTCTCCAGGTGTGACCCATCCACCTGAACCTTTGTAGACAGCATTGAGAAAACTGTTGTAGTAATTGCTCTTTCAAATACCTCTACAAGTGTGATCTTGTCTTGCCACCTAATGCCAGGTATTCTTTCTTCTTCATTTTTTCTAGTCCTGTTCTGCCTCTCATCATCAGGTTTTAAAGATACATCTGGTGCACACACCTTGTGTGTGTGTGTGTGCATGTGTGTGTGCGTGCATGCGTGTGTGCATATGTGGCGCTGCTGCTATGTAGATGGTGGTATTCACAGCCCTGGATATTCCATCTATTCATCACTTGCATGGGTAACCTCTAACCGTACTTTCAATCTGTCGAAGTGGCAGGGCTCTCTGTAGTTCTCCATCTTCTGGTAGTCTTGATCACTGTCTTAACCATGTGATCTGCAGTCTCTTTATATAGTTTGATACTGGCTCCATCCCAGCTTGTTTCCTGATATCATCATTTGGATTTGTAGTAGACACTGATTTTTGTGTGGGTAATGTTACAAGATTATAAATAATGTGGATGAAAAGAAAATACATGGCACAATTTGTTGCCAGGCATATTTTTGCTGCATCTCGTTAGTTGGGTTCTGACAGTACATACCTGATGAGATGCAGCGAAATATGCCCCACAAAAAATGGCGGCATGTATTGACTATATCTGCATGATTTAAATTCCTTATGGGAAAACATTACTGTCCGTACATGACTGCTCTGCAATATTGGTGATATCTGTGCTCTGAAATGATTTGCTTTGTTACACCTGTATTGTATCTCTGCTTCCATTTTTCAATTGGATGGTACTGTTTCCTATTTACATGAAGTCTTTTTTCTCTGAGTTTTTGGTTTTCTATGCATATCTTCACTGGTTGTTCTGTTCTTGCAATGGTAATAAATTCTAGGTTTCTCCCCAGTGTTTATTATCATGTTTTATACTTTTTTGCCAGGTTTAGATTTTCCAGGTATCTCTTCCTCTGTAGTTGTATGAATGTAATCATAAACACAAATGACAAACAAAAAATACAACATTTACTAAGCAATAGATAATAATATTTTGCTTCATCTGCCTCAATCATGTGTTGCAGCAATCCAGTTAGTTCTAGTTTTTACTTGTACTCATGACAGCTTTTATTTTAACTTAGCTACCCGCACAATTCTTTCTGAACAAAGCATACAAAGAAATGTTAAGAAGTGTTGGTCTGAAGTAAAAGAGTGCTCGTTAATTTTTATTTATTGTTTCCTTTTTAGTAATTTAAAATAGAGATCCTATAGCTCAGTTATTGTGTGAGACTTTTATAGTGCATTTCATGCCCAACTTTAAAAATCTGTAACTTAATAACGGTTTGGTGTACATTGTTGAAATTCAGCACACAACCTATACATATTCATGACCTTGTAGGAAAAATTATTATGATGTAAACTTCAAGTTTTCCTTTTGCCTTATTTGCAGTATACGAAAAAACATACATGGCTTCAAAGCATAACATTAGCATGTTTACAGTAAATGGAGTGATGAAAACCGTGCAAAATATCAAATTGTGCGCATAATCCTTGCTTTAAGCTTTTGCACATTTATTTGCACAGTCAAGTCTATACATCATGTATTGTCATAATCTCATTTACATAGCTGTAACTCAGTTCATAAGTGTTTCACTCTCCGGTGGTCAGTCTCCCACATTAGCCTCCAATTATTTAGATCAATACAAAATATTATATTGTAAGGGGAATAGGCTATCAAAATAATTGCCATGCACTGCTGCTTACATGAACTGATTTCTGAAACAATCTCCATGCTTTTGGTTTAAAATAAACAATTTAGGCCAGTTACTGTATATCTATTTTTTTGGGTTATACATATTATTAGTATGACAAAGATTTAAAAAAACTTCTGCTTGAAGGAAACAGCAGCACTTGTGCAACTGTAAATTATAAAATCATAAGGACAAGTGAAATGTAAGACAACATGCAAAAATGTGTGTTGATCCACACATGAGTTTTCGAGATTTCTGTTTCAGGGTACAACTACTGACACATACTATAATCAACATCTGCTGTCAGGTATAAGCAATGTTTGCTGGCCTGGCAGCTTTAGGCTTAAATCTTCATCGATGTTGTTTGTTATTGTTAACACTAGCTTAAAGTTGATGTCAGAAAATGTTTTCTAAACCATTTTGTACAACCATGGTATACTGACCACACCATTCATCAAGCTTTGATCTGTCTTTACAAATATTGGGCCAACACTTTATACCCAATATGCTTTGAAGTATAAAAAGTGGTCCTCTATACTGATTTAACTTTGCAGCATGGTTTTGACATTTAATTACTGCTGTGTTTGCTTTGAGTTATAAAAGAAAACTAATAAAACAGGCAATCAACCTATTGCCCTTATATTGCTGTGACTGACCGCACTGAGCTTAAACTTCTCACACTTTCACAGAAATAGTTATGATTACCTGAGGAAAAAACTGTAACAAGCATACTTTCGTAATAATGTCCACTGTACCTGTCTGTCAAAAGCAATCCAAGATGGCAAGCTACTTCCTTCTCCTCGAGGAAATACAGTGTTGCGAGGTTTGTACTTCTGTCCTAGAAGAGGTTCACCGCCAATGCCAGGTTTTACAGCTCCCACCATCATGGCAATGTCATTTTCATAGCCAAAATGGTGTGATTTATGGAATTTGGTCTTTCCCACCTGTGAAAAAGATAGATTTAGGAAACAAAATGTAGAAGAGTTCAACTCATTGAGGCCGAGCAACGCTGTGTGTGTTGATTGAGAAGTTCGGATTTGTCAAACAACACTGTCTGCGTTGATCGTGTGTCCTGTACATAATAATTCGCAAACAGCTCTGTATTCATTTATAATGTTTGGAACTACCATTAAAGTATTTAGGAGCAGATACTCTAACATTTTTCTTTGCAAAAAAAAAAAAAGGCTGTGTTTGCATATATGTGGGTGCACACTGATTCAGTTAATTGCTAGCGTGATTTTCAGACAATGCATTTTCCATTTCACATTTAAGTAGTCATGATTACCAATGTTCTGAACAAAAGCTCAGGCCAAAAAGTACGCCTTTCTGTAGCTGAGGCTCTGAAACTGTTTCAGTTAATATTTTCTAACAATGAAACATTAAACATTTTTGAAAAGTGATTCAGACAGTAAATTTACACCACCAACCGCTGAGCAGTCAGCTGTTTATTCTGATGAGGAAAACCTAGGAGGACCCATTTCATTTAAGAAGGGTGTGATATCACCCACTTTTGCAACAAAAGAACTGTTTCAGGAAGTATCATACTCACACTGTGGCTAAGCTGCATTGAAATCATTGCCACTACAGTCTGTAAATATCTACAAACCTAATATTTTGTGTGTCAAATTTTCTGCCATTTTTTTTTCTTTGAAATTTTGTTCAGCACTCAATGAGAACCTTGAGCATCAGAGTGATAAACTAACCCAGAAATGTATCTTAACATTTGAATTTGTTAGGAAACTTAACAAACTTTAAAGTGTTTTTCTTAAATTTCTATATTCACTACTCTTGTGGCTGCAAAACCAAGGTAAGTGAAGATATTTTTAAGTAAATGTTTGTCTCTCTAAACATAACACCTGCTAAATTTTTGTTTCCTACTAACTAAAACAGTATGAAACAAAAATATATTATCAGATTCGAAATGTGCATTCAATCCTCTTTAAAGAGAAAAAAGATACTAGGGATTTCCACATGGGTCTTAAGAGTCATGCAAAATCACCCCTTGTCTACCACAGGGATCTGTATTTTCACAAGTGCCCTTCAGTGTGTACACAGCACGAGTGTAAAACATAAATAAGCTGGGGGTGAGATGGATAGTGATATTTGCAGGCAATCCAACCATATGTAGAGAAGAGCTACAGACAATAGCTGACAAAGTGACTGGCTGAGCACGGCAATCAACCCAGAAAAGGTGACTGTCTTATAATGCTATTTGGACAACAGGATTGTTAGGGCTGATATTCCAAGCCTTACAATTAATGATCAAAGCATCAAAAGAGAAGGAAAAACTCAGGTATCTTGAAATCACCTTTAACAGAAGTCTGTCATTGCAAAGATCAGGTGGAGGCAGCTGCAGCAAAATGCAGACATGGGTTAAATACACTGAAAATTATGGCAGCATTGGACATGGAGCAAAAAAAAAATGCTGTTCACAATGTACCAGCACCTTATTACACTGGTGACAGATTATGTACCAGGGCTGTTCACTGTATCAAAGAGTCAGCGGTTGAAGCTCAGTTACATACAGAATGAAGCTACATTGGTGATTTAGGATGTACAAAAGGCACCACCAGTAGTCTGTATGCGATATATACAGGCACTGCTATCTATTGCAGACAGGCCCAAAGTGCTGAAAGCTAGATAATATCTCAGCAGACAACAACCATCTTTCTTATGAAGGCCTGGACACAGCTAAAGACCACAGACTGATAAGAGGGCAGTTTTGGATGACACAGGCAGAGGATATTATTAGATATATATATGTGTGTGTGTGAATGTGTGTGTGAGTTTGTGTGTGTACAAGCTTAACTTCTGGTTAAAATGGACGCTAGACAGCGGCGCTCTTTGGAGCAGAGGCAAATTTTTTGCTTCTGCCGGACAGTGGCCGATGCATTTTTGCTCCATTTGTAGACTGGATATAGTTTCGTCGCCCAGATTCTGAGTTGAATGCATGGCGTGACCCTGTGAGCTGCGGATTGCATTTGGAATGTTTTTTCGACTGTGACCAACATGGTGTGAATTGTAGATTCAGAAAATGGTGCGATGCCTGTCGTGCAATGTTGGCGGTGCCTGTGTGTGATTAAAATTGATCACGTGGACAACTGCTGATCTGTTGGCGACAAGTTCTGCTATCATCAATGATGAACTGCATTTCTAATGTTGGACTGTTTGTGTTAGCACTTCAGATGGCTACCATATGCTTTAATGGGAGTGTATGCTAGATATGCTGAGACAGCAGTCTGTCAATCTTTCCACAAGGGACTGTGATAAACATTCTGGGTGTTTTTTTGCTATGAAGCTGAAACTAAGACTAAGACTACCAGACTACAAGCTTGAAAAAATAAAATTTAGACAAAAGGAGTGGGTCAAAGTGTCACAGTAAAAATCAGACTTCTGCAGGGCTTTGATTACACTGTGACTGGAATGCTGGGATTGGCTGGAAGACCCTGCAGAATCAGAAATTCAACAACTGATTTATGACATATCTGCTCAGGCCATGCCATTATCTATACAGATGGCTATGTATTGAGAGGCAGGAAAAATCAAAACAAAAAAAATAATTCAACAATGCCTATCAAATGATACTACAACATCTAGTTTGAGAATCGAGGTAGAGGCTTTCACAGCAGCTTTCCATTTGGTTTGGTTTGGTTTATTCCACGGATCAACATCATGGCAGGTGAATGTAACCCATAGGTGCTCTGTCTACTTCTAACTAAAGCCTAATGTAGAAACAGCTCAACATGGTGCATGAACTGTGTTGCACAGGCGAGGACTCTTAAATACTTTGGATAGATTTTGACCTCCAAATTTAGTCCGGGTAGTGACGTTAGCTTGAAAGCTTAAATATTTTGGTCATATCAAGCGCCACGAGGGATTATAAAAAATTAAAGCAGAAGGCATGGTACCAGGAAGGAGGAGCAGGGGTCGACCGACACGAAGATGGACACAGGATATAAGTGACTCCTGGAGTATGAAAGTTCCTGAGGCGGGAGAGCTGGCAAGAGACTGAGTTTTTTTCAGGCAGACTGTGATGATAGCGACGTTCTGCAAAGGACCTGCTACATGATGATGAGCGACGTTAGGCTAATTTTTTTCCATTTCCAACCACCAAGGGATTTTTTACGTGTGCAACACTACACACTACCCAGAGACCAGGAGAAAATACTGAAAGTCCACATGAAAAAAATCCCGGCCTTCACTAGGGCCTGAACCCGCGACTTTAGCACTCCAGGCAGACACCATGCCTCGAGACCTTGCAGGCCCCCTAGCAGCTTTCTTTAGCTTGCAAACTAGATGCATACACATGTTTTGATTGTGATCAACTTACAAAACATGCTGAGAAAAGTTAAGACGGGCACGATCCTTGCAGAGTGGCAAGCATCGCTTCAGATGTCCTGTGTAGTTAGCGCCTTTGAAAGTTTTTTTTCTAGGGCATGTAGGTGTGCTGTAAAATGAATTGATGCATGACAAGCTAAATGTGTTTAGGTCATCTTGGGACAAGTGAAAAATGCAGAGGCAGGAATAGATCAATAAGGTCTGGAGAGAACGGTGCAGCTAGGGGTGACTAGGGAATACTACACTCAGAAGACAAACTAGAAGAAAAAAAAAAAAACAGTAAAGATCCCTTATCACGCCTTTCGGCGCATCGGGCATATGGGAAGAGCGTCCCATATTTTTACAGACCATCAGCACTCTGTGGGTAATGTGGTCAGCATTACGACGGCTGTCTTTACTAGACAGCCCATCCTGGTACCCATTTTAGGCTGGGTCGAACGTCCCTAAACCACGACAAAAATCCACGCAGCTGCAGGGTTTTCGATCTCGGTAATACGAGTCGGACTCGCTTAGCCACTAGAAGAGCTTAAAATTAAATCAACTAGCACCGTCCGAATAGGAACTCTTTACTGGCTGCTGACGATGATATCAGAGTACTTTCAGAAATTGTTCAAGTGCTGTCATGTCAGTTCCTAACTAAACCCAAATTAGTACATAACACACACATATACACACACACACCCACACACACCAGTTTGCCAAATACACATAGATTATATCATGCAGGAAATGCTGATTTGTGAATACAAACTAGGGCTGTACCGAATAGTGATTTTCACTATTCGGTCGAATACAAATAGCTGGACCAACTATTCGGCCGAATAGGAATACGAATAGTGTATCATCTTCATCAGGTGCTTTGCCGACTGGCATGGGCGATTATGCCTCGCCACAATCTGCTATCTCCTACAGCATGTATTAGTTCGTGTGCTGACACACCACCATGCAATGCAACAAGACTCAAGAATTTTCACTCGTCTTCCTCAGTCACTCCTTCCACAGATCTTTCCAGTGGTCACCACATGTTCTATTTTCCCTCATCTTATAACATGGCGGTAAAATGATGACTGTCTCCTTCTGATGTCTGTGAGTAGTTGTCTTCGGGCTCCCGCCTTTATTAAAACCTCTTGGTTGCTTTTTTTGTGGCTGTCCAAGGTATTTTAAGTATTTTTCTGTAAAACCACATCTCTGAGGCCTCAAGAAATTGTTTGGCCTGCCTACAGATTGTCCAGGACTTACAACCATATGTTTAAACTGGATGTATGTAGTAAGCAAGAATTCTTTTTCTAACCTTCAATTGACAAAGATATATTGCATAAGATGTTCTTCATTTTATAAAATGTAGTTTTTGCCTGTCCTATTATGTTTCTTTTTTCAGTAATGCATCTTCCATCTGATGTTACCCATGTGCCCAGATACTTAAATTTCTGTACTTGTCCCAAAAAAAAACCACTGACTTTTATTACACATTTCGGAATAATTATTTTCTTTGAAACCAACATTACTTCTGTCTTCCCACTATTCAGACTAAGGCCCATTCTTCCACTTTCCTGTATAAAATAGATCTAAAAAAAAACACACCTATAATGTCAAATGTACGCTGAAATTTTACTTCACAAAATGTAGTACCGAAGAGTAAACATTTAAAAACATTTCATGTTTTGCATCCTTCAGTCAGTCAGTCTGTGGTAACTTATACCTAGGAATTAAAGTATTCCTAGTTTTATAACAAGTAAATAAACTTGTAAATTGTCACTGACAACTTAATTAATCCATGAAAGCGGCATTAGCTTTCCAAAAAAAAAAATTGTTCCATGTTGTCAGCATTAAGGCAGCTTCTTGTCTCACTGAAGGTATTTCCAGCTGTACTAAACAGACGTTCACTTGGTACCCTCGTAGGTGGTGCACAAAGATAACGCTTGACGGTGTGAAACAAGGTGGGAAAGCTTGATATGTTTATTTTCCACCAGTCTAGAAACAGGTGTAAGGTAACCACTATTGGTATTCGGCCCGACCGCAACTATTCGAATACGGAATAGTTATTAGGTCTACTATTTGGCCCCGAAGCGAATACGAAGCGAATATTCGGTACAGCCCTAATACAAACACAGGGTTAATTAACACCATTTATATGGCATGGGGAAAATGTCATTGTCTTCCATTTAATTGATGTTGAACATTCAACATTCAATAACATTTACTTGTACTTGTTGTGCAATATTCACAGCCATTCAATAAAATCATTTCTTTGTAATATGCAAGAATGTACTTTCTAGCCTCTACTGACAGAGATTTACTGCATAGGATTTATTTATTTTTATAAAATTTTCTCTGTGTGATATTTATACCAACTGCCGGTATCTGAAACTTAAAACTTCGGTACTTGCCCCCAAATTAATATAGCTGTACGTTTATGCTGATCCGTGTATTTGATATAACATTAATTCTGTTATCCGAGGAGTCATTTATTATTTCTGTTTAATAGTTTTGTTGGTTTATTTGTCTCATCACTGTTTACTAGTATGTGTCATGTGTAAAAACAGACTGGATGCACATACACCAACAATGTGTCTCCATGCAGTATGAGTAACAATATTTCAGATCAGACGCTGGGTAGGTGCTCAATGTGTTTTCGGCTCTCCTTTCAATACCGGACGCAGGCTGGACGGCTTAGTTCGGTTTAGTGGGAGTTCTCTCCCTTGGCCGCACTGCAAACAGTGAGCGGAAAAGTCACGAAACAAATGACATACTTACCTATCATCATACGGTTGCGTGTAGGGTTGCGTACGCTTGCGTGTAGTGTTGCGTAGTCATCATACAGCTGCATGTAGGGTTGCGTAGTCATCATACGGTTGCGTAAAGGGTTGAGTAGTCATGATACTGTTGCGTGTAGGGTTGCCTATCATCATACGGTTGCATGTAGGGTTGCGTAGGGTTTGGGTTTGGGTTAGGGTTAGGGGTTAGGGTTAGGGGTAGGGTTAGGGGTAGGGTTAGGGGTTAGGGGTAGGGTTAGGGGTTAGGGTTAGGGTTAGATGTGAAAATTACTGAGTTCCAAATACTGGCCGACAATCTGATGCTTGTGGGAGTGGCGCCACTGAAATTCTGCCAAATATGACGGCAATAGCGCGCGGCTGGTGCCCGATCGGTGGCGATTGTCCGTAGCATCCACAGTTCGTCGACTGTTTGGGTGTGTATGTGACTGTGCGCGATTATAGCGAACTCCTGCGTCAAACTTGTCACATCTAACGCTAAACATAACCCTAACCCTACCCCTAACCCTAAGCCTAACCCTACCCCTACCCTAACCCTACCCCTAACACTACCCCTAACAGTACCCCTAACCCTACCCCTAACGCTAACCCTACCCCTACCCTTAATCCTAACCCTAATCATAGCCCTAACGTTACCCCTAACCCTACCCCTAACCCTAACCCTAATCCTAGCCCTAACCCTAACCCTACCCCTAACCACGCAAATTTATCGGTCTTTAAAGCATACAGATCGGCCAAAAAAAAAAAAAAAAAAAAAAAAAAAACATAGATTTCCCCGCAGCGTCAAAAAAAAAACCCCCAGATCTGGGGACACAACCAAGCATTGGCAGCCCTGATGTCGACCTCACTGTCTTCTTTGATTCGTGACTTTTCCGCTCACTGTTTGCAATGTGGCCAAGGGACAGAACTCCCACTAAGCCGAACTAAGCCGTCCAGCTACCGTCCAGCCCGTGCCCGGTATTGAAAGGAGAGCCGTGTTTTCATATATTCATTTAAAAAAAAAAATTGTTTCTATATATTTTTAAAGTTAAAGACATTTAGGCTATCTTCTGAATAATGGTCCAAAATTATAGAGGCTGAAAATATACCCTCACAGGGCCTCAGTCACGTGTCAATTTTGGACTTCCGGTGACTTAAATTGTGCACTTCCGGAGACTACCCACACCGCCGAGAGTATCTCCCAGGCCGCTTCATGCGGTGTGGATTGAAGCTTAACTAGATGGCTAGGACTCATAATCAGCAGCTACTGGCATCTCATTTAGCTTCCCTAATTTTATTTGCTCGTGAGTCCCAGCCATCTAGTTTAGCCCTAATCCACGCTGTGCGTAGTGGAGTGGGAGATACTCTCGGCGGTGGCAGAAGTCCGCAACTGACACTGACTGAGACTCTGCTAGAGTATATTTTCGGCCTGGATAATTTGGGACCGTTTTTCGCAAGATAGCCGACATTAAATTACTAAGTGACTATACATACAACACCTTTTGAAACAATTTTACAATTAATTTTGGTCGGATGTTAAATCCATCTCCTGTTTAAAAAATGCCTTATCATTTACTCATCCTTATTTTATCTTTACAAGCTAACTTCGACCACAGTGTAAAATAATTACATACAAGACACAAAGACACAGATTTAGCTGAGCTGTGGAGACCAAGTGTGCAGTGCAACCCGTCTCTTGAAGTTAAAACTTAAAAGTTATGGTAAAATAAAAATATCAGAATGATTAGTAAAGTTGCAGTTTGTAGTAAAAAACTTAATTGTATAACAAATAACACACATACACTCCTATTAAACGAATTGCCTGGTAAAAATGGCAAAGCCATGATGACAGAAAATAGGAATTCGACTGATTCCCTGTTTTTTCAGCGCAGCAAGGCGACGTGTTTGGTTTGGGCCGTTGCTAAGTAACTGACATTTAAAAAAATTATTTTTGGCAGGTTACGATTCACGAAACAATTTCAAAGTTAAATTTGTAACATTGCATAATTTTTCACAAGGAAAGGGGAGTGAAAGAACAGTTGCAACAAAAAATAGAGACATCATTCTAAACAACTATCACCCGTAGTTATAAATACTGAGAATCAATGAAGTGCATATAAAAATTGAAACCACTATGCTTAGTATTACAAATGAATTATGTGGAAAACGGAATTATAACAAATAAACATAAAATATTCACATTTGTGGTACCAAGAAAAAATAGGCAGACGCCAAACTTAGTGGAGATGGATACAGGACATTCATGATGAGCTGGCTATAAAAGTACACAGAGCTGGATAACTGACAAATCCGTTTGACAAATCCAAACTTCTTAATCAACACACACAGCGTTGCTCGGGCCTCATTGAGTTAAACTCTTCTACATTTTCTTTCCTACATCTATCATTTTCACAGGTGGGAAAGACCAGTCCATAAATCACACCATTTTGGCTATGAACATGACATTGCCATGGTGGTGGGAGCTGTAAACCCCGGCACTGGCGGTGAAACTCTAAGGCTGATTGTAATGCCATCACTTCATCTTGAGTCGGTACAGATGACAAAAGCAGTATTTTTGTGTGTGGTCGAAATGTGGGTAGTTGACCACTGGTCAAAACTTGTATGAGATGTGCTCGACGGACAACATCAACAGATAAGAGTATTTAGCGTATCTGTTGTGCATTCATGGTCTCTTGACGCTTCAGAGAACATGCTCTCGTTGCTCTTTGTCCAGGAAGCCTATGTCTAGATTTATTGCAGCCAAAGTCTTCGAAAATTTTGGTGATTCGACGTACAAAAAAAGGTATGCCTAATATGTTTACAGCCAATACAGGGGTGAGGCGGGGATGTGTGCTCTTTCGTCTCTAATGTACTATATTTATACATAGAATAGCAAAAGATCAGCTATAAAGCAGTCGACCTAGAAAATCCATAAGATGAGGAACTCTACTTTCCAGAGGAAGAATTAGATCCACACACAATAACAAGCTACTGTTTGCAAACGACCAGTGACTGTTCTACAATGAGGTGAGCAGACTGCAATAAAATCTGAAAAGGCTAACATGCAGAAGACATAACACGAAAATAGATATTTAATTTTCACATTTTAATTTTAGTGATAGTTTTAATTTCTGTTTTGATCTCCCCAAATTTCCTAATGATGTGAAAGCTCCTTTTGCCTGTTGTCCTCGTATTTTAATACCCCTACCAGTTATTTAAATAACAGCCAACATAAGTAGTAGTAGTAGTAGTACATTTTATCCCACTAGGACATCACACAAGCGATAAACACATTATGACACAAGGTGCCACCATGTGTATGAGGATGACCCGTGGAGAGGTCTCGGAAACAGCTTTCAGCCGTTTGACCATATTTGTGGCTGGGCTATATTGCGGCCCCTGGCAAGAGCCAGTGTGGGGTTTCAAAATAAAACAAAATTGTATCTCTCGAGGTAATGGCTAGTACCCAACATAAGTATAGGACTCCATATCTTGGAGTGGGATACTAATAAGCGAAACCAGTTCTTTAAAAAAATGTAATTTCCACCACTTCCGTAACCCCTAAACACTCTCATTATTGACTGTACCTGGTTTGGAAAGCATCTGATTATGATAATTCTTAAAATTTTACAAGATGACCTCATACAACTGCTGATTATGGGACCATGTTCTGCGATATGATCGATAAAGGTCAACACTAGAGGCACTCGATCGGCAAGTATCACCAATGTTTATTATTCATTGTATATTATATATATATACCTCACCCCCTCCTCCCAAATTACCCACTGAATATTTACATCACATAATGTAACCATATCACTCTTTACTGTCACATTTCAAGTGACTTAAACAGAGGCTTTAAAAAAAAATATAAACTGGTGTTTTTTCTTTAGTTGTTTAATGTGTCTATTTATGTGTTGCCCAAGCCGCCAAAAAAAAAAAAAAAAAAAACCCCATTCACCCCTACCTTCCTCAAGACTCCAACATCGTGAGTTAAGTCAGGAATTTACATCACAGCACTAAAGGCATTCCCATTTACGACCCCATCCTCAGCAGCCAGCTAGGTTCCAATGCTAATGGTGCCGGTCGTAGTCTGGTTATATGTCCGTCTTGCCTTTCCTCTAAGCGTAGTAAGCCAACCGAACCCTCTGGTCACACCCAGATGCATTATTCTCCCCAGCCCATTACTGACTTTGTCACTTGTTCCCAAAGCGTTCTGACCACATCTGCTTTGTCATGTATTAATTCACCACCCAGCGGTACATATCCAGCCAATCTGTTTGCATGTTTATTCCCCATAACGCCTGCATAGCCCTGAGGAAAAAAAATTAAAAACCAAAACAATAAACGCACAAATTAATTGTTTTATCCCAAAACAAAAACAATACTACAAAGAGCAAGGGAAGTAAGTAGTCAATAAGAATGAATTATCAGATAATCAACTGGCTAGGGGTCTGTATACTAATTATAACTTGACACTGACTCCATCCTGTACCTACCGTAATCACTATAACCAATGGTGGGCAAATCTCGCACACATTTATATAAATTAACTCATTTTTAAAAATGAAAATTCAGTCTCACCTACATGCTGAATGTTTGCGAAGATGTAGATGCAATGAATTATGTTAACAAACGGTCTTGTAAACATACCTCTTTAGCAAGTTGGGAAAACGGCTCTTATGGGAAATGGTACGAATTGTTAATATTAGTTTGTGCTACCTGAGTCGAAGAGGTTAAATATAATACTAATACTATATAATGGTTATGCAGAACTGAATGAAATAATATCTACATGATAAAGGAGATAGAAGATAATTCTAGGCTATAAGTGTGAAGCAGTAGGGTTTTACATATACTAGTCACTGCATTATAATTAGTGAGTGACCCGAAACCTACCTCATACTTTTAAAGATCATACTTTTAGGGATCGTTTCTAAAGGTTGACTTGCCGAGACGTCGAATGTATTAAACAACAGAACAACCAACAGCCACTATCAAGATTCAACCTGCAGCAGCCGTCACCACCATGGACCTGGACATGCCACAGGACGCGTTCCCTGGAGGAAGGATTCACCGGACAGGTAGTACAATTGTTATGTCCATGTCCGGTACCGACGCCGCCTCCAGGGCAAAGCCAGCCTGGTTGACCAGCGTGTTAATAGGTCCACTCGGGGTGCCTATCTACGGCATTGCGGAGCTGTATCGCTACGCCAATCCTACAGAGTGGTTCCTCACCCTTACAGGAGAAGCACACAAGTCAAATTTTGACAAACTAGATAAACAGAAAACAAAAGTTTGCATGCATTGGATGCCAATTACGACCACCGAGCAGACAGCCAAGAAGATAGCGGAAGGGATAACAGGCGACGACGATCCCGAAGTATATCAAGCCCGATACGGTAAAGACAGATTGTACGCCTTAGTGAGGGAGAAAAAGCCGATTCCTCATTATGTGAATACGAGGAACCCGCAGTTCCCCGGAGGCCGACATAAGCTCTGGATCACGGTGCCAGGAAGGCGGACGAACTGCCCACATTGCGAGCAGACCGACCACTGGGCAAACAAGTGCCCATCAAGGAGAAGACGCCCTGAGCCAGTGACAACACTTATTCAGGAAGAGGACCATCAATCCCGGAAAGAGTTGGAAGACAGTCAAAAGGAGGTTCTCCTAACAAGCACACAGTCCTCAGCAGAAGAGGAGGACACGCAGACCGGACGCAAATAGAAGAGAAAAGTCAAGAAAAGAAACCGCCAAAAAGTCAGCTCAAACGAGACGTCACCAGCAGCAACACCCCTAAAAAGAGATAACAAAGCCCACAAACAAGGAACTCAAGAAAAAATCAACAACGTTGACGCAGCTGCCGTGAAAGACGAGTCTTCATCCAGCTCAGAGGAGGAAGATACAGCGCCTCACCTTAAGGATATGATCTGTCCAGAATGTGAGGCACATACAACTACAGATTCCCATGCCAAGAATAAAATCCACTGTGTTCGGTGCTATCTGCTACTGGCAAAGCCCTCAAGAATAGGAAGACAAGTAACGTACGCACAAAAATGCCTCGGAAGAGACAGAACAATCAAAGAAGACGGAATCATCTCTGGCTGCAGACGGTTGAAAGAATAAATGAGTGGAGTCCCCTCTCTCCTTATTTCCCCCGCTCCAGAACTTTCACCTTTCTTCCTCTGTTTCGTTTTTCCCTTTTTTGTTCTTTAAATAAAATTTGAACGCACTCACAAAAAACACAACAATACCACTCACAAACGGCAACGAATGTAAAACAGACTTACAAAAATATTAGCAACATACAAAACACACACACACACACACACACACACACACACACACACACACACACACACACACACACACACACACACCTATCTCAACCACCTTTCCCTCCCAGAGAAATTTGAATACCCAGTTTTCTTAGGTGGACTGGATTCAGCATAATTGAAAACACACCCTTCCTAAACAGGACCACGATAACATTGCCTTTTTTTTTCAAATCCAGGAACCAGGAGTTGTAAACCCTTTGGCTCAGAGCTATGGTTATCGCAACACATTGGATTGATTCCATGACAGAAACCGTAGTATGGGAACTATGTGGCTTTTCTGCCTACCCCAGAGCGTGAACTCGGACTACAAGGAGTTTTCCCCCACAGTCGCCCCACAGCTGCTTTAACCAACTTAGGTAGCGCGCCGTGCAACGAGGCTTTTCAGTTAGGGTTTTATATTACAATCAACATCATTGCACACTGGGTGAACAAAAGACCTGCCATTCATACACATGAACTCAATATTACAACTGAAGCTGATCAAAGACTGATATCGAATCCA